ATAAATTTCACATTAAGTTATAAATATTAAATATGGAACATTAATGCACTTTTTTGCAATGACAAGAACTTCCGAAATTTATGAATCAGATTCTTTCAATGAATTGAAAGGATCCATTGAAAATAGAAAAATTTTGGCTTATCAATATCTGAAATCAACAAATGTTAAGAGTTGAGCATCATTGTATACAAATGATCAAGAATAATGAAATGCTCATCCATTCATAACTGTTTTCCAAGCATTTTTTACATAGATAGCAAGGGAAAGCACATTTTGTTTATCAAAAATATAGTTTATTGTATTTTTTTCAATGATACAACAAAAGAATCATTGCAAAATATTCAATACCAGACAATATTAACTTAAATACAAGTGTTTGTATTACTAATGTTTCTGTTATATTGACTTTTACTATTAATTTAGAACTCAAACTTGTTTTGTCTCTTATTTTATGGATGCATTAGCCAAGAATATCTTGAATATCTTGATGAAACAAATCAATCTCTGATTAGATGTTCAAATGACTTAAGTGGTGAAGTTGTAATACCTTCTGAAGTCAAAGAAATACATAAAAATGCCCTTTACAATTGTAAATTTGTCACATGTATTGACGAAACTTCTTTCTTTTATTCCAATATTTCATCCATTGTGCTTCATGATAGAATCACAGAGATCAGAAAAGTTACAAAAATTAGTTCTACTTTATGTGGGCTGTGTACTTCATTAATTAAAGTTACAATATCTGAAAATGTAGTTGAAATTGAAGATAATGCATTTGCTCATTGCTACTCACTAATAAGGATTAAAATTCCAAAAAATGTTATATTAATTGGGAAAAATGCATTTTATGATTGTATTAATCTTACAACCATAAAATTAATGAACATTAATAAGCATATTTGCTAAAATCCAAAATCCAATTAATATTTATATTATAGGAAAACTTATTATTAATTCAAATTATACATATGTAAGGATGTCAATTTGGAAGAAAAGTGAGAAAATTCCTAAAATGCTAAAAATGAATTTTCCAAACGTACTTTTTTATCTCATTTTTTTGATTTTGAAAAAAATTTGGAGAGAAGAACTCTTCGTTTTTGAATTTTATCACGATGGTTTTAAAGTATATTAGACACAGGTATTGGTATTACTATTTTTGTATATTTTGAGAGAAAATCCCTAAAAAGTGAGAAAATCTAAAACGGTTTGAGAAAATATATAAACTATTGAAAATTTGAATTAAACTTCTAATTTGGAAAAAAGAAATTTGGAAAGAAGAAAATTCAAAAATCGAGATTTAGACTCAGCATCAAATGGAGAACAAAATGTTTCTTCATATGAAGGAAAAAAATTTTCTTGTGAAGAAATAGAGTTTTTAAAATTTTATTGTATGTAATGAAATAAACAAATATTAAAATTATTTTTTGATAACAAGAAAATTCCTAATAGAGAATATTTGAGAGAAAGAAAAAAAGAAAATTGAAAAACATTACTCTCCTTTAGATTTCATGAGATTTTAAATTTATTCTCATAAAATTGACAATTTTATACGTTTAGATGAAAATAAGTGATTTTGGTTGAAATAGAAATTATTATTTGCTTACAGCTATCAAATAAATTTTTGCTATTTTGATTAAAATTTGTTAATCAAATTAATAAATTTTTTCTAAATATCTTAAATATCTGGATCACTCACATATACAATGAATTGAACGATAAAAATAATACAAACTCAACTAAGTTTCCTGTCTTTCAACTAAAAAAAATTATGCAAATTAAATTAAATTGTTTATTCAAATATAAAACAAAGATGAAGTAATTACAGTTATCATTGTGATGTAGAAGGATGTCAATGTACTGACTGAAGGATATGAAGTGAATTGAATTTCATTGCATTTCAATTTGATCAAAATTTGTTGAAATGATATGAATGTGTCAACATCTGTATCACTCTCTTTCACTCCTTCCCTATTCTTTCGAGAACGAAGCTAGCTCAGCTTTCGCTGAGCGAATTGACACTTTTGATGCCCTAAACGTACATGCTCTCAAATTTATCGAAAAAAAATTATACCACCTAAACTAGTATATTCTTATTTTAAATATGATATTATCCTTAGAATCCACACTAGAATATATTTAAATCAACTTTTAAAAAAGTTCGAATCCTGCGCGTCTCACTTTTTAAATTTTCCAAAAGGAAAATTATATTCTCCTAAAATGAAAACAATTTTCCGAATTGACATCCTTAACAAATGTATTTCCAAATAGAAGTCATTTATATGTTACAAGGGAAACAATTTTGTCAAATTCAAGTAAACAAATTTTTGGCGAAAAAAATATTGTTGTTCATTTAATTGATGGAAAGAATATAACAGATCAAACAACAAATGACGTCATTGACTATATAAAAATTGAAAAAATTATTCATCCAATGAATCCAATGACTCAAGAGGACAATATTTACCATCAAATTAAATGCATACATCTTATTAGTTTATTCAATTTCTACCGGTAGTAATTGATCATAATAATCAAAACTTTTATAATCATCTGATATAATAAGCTGACATAACATCTTATAAACGATGTATATTCAATACACGAATATTCATATAACATATTAAATCCGAAATCCAAATTGAAGCTTATTTTAGGGTAAAAATTGCATATTTTGAAAGTACTTCTTTTTTTAATAATACCTATCAGAAAATCAAATTATTCGTTGTTTTTTATAATGATAAACAGAATATTCGCGATTAGAATAGACTTCACTGAATAAGTCTTAAAGAACTTCTTTGTTTATGTCATTACCGAAGGAGTTGCCTCGAATGATGAAATCAACAAGATTCACATTTATGTATTCTAAGATTTCTTCGATTTATATTCCCAATACAATTAATAGTATTGATAACGGTAATTATAACAGCAAACATCTCAACAAAACAATTTGTTCGGTTTGCGTTAATTAAGAATCAGAAAAAGTCAAATCCGCCAACATTTAAGGCAATGATTAGAACAATGATCGCAATGTAATTTTGTATCTTAAAATCTTTATGATAATACTTACAATGCTAGTAAATAAGCAATCATTTCAAATAACTCTTGTAGTAACAAGCAAAGAGCTGTGTAATGCCGTTAATTAACGAGTAAAAACTTAAGATTCACTCGAAATATGTTTACTTTTGGACTATTTATTCTTTGCAAGAATAATGTAGTATGACGAATATACATAGAATACTAACGCCAAAATTAATTCAAATTCAGGAGTTTTTCTGCAGAAAACAGTAGTTCATAATTGAGTTATCATTTGTGTAATGTTGAAAAATATACTTTAAATGACAATATTATCTCTAAATCTTGCGTTGTGATTGAGACTGTAGTTATAATTGAATTGTTTTCAGAATAACCTTATTCCAATTGAATAGAATACGGTTTTCAAAGTGGTGTGTCCAAAAATATTTTTGTAGATCAAGAAGTGACATGGGATGAATACTTTGGTGATGAAACATATATCAGTCTCTTCAGAAAAAATGGATTTGGTCCATTTTCCAAAGGAGTTGCAAATTCGTACTTCATCAGAAGATGCATTTATACAGAACTCTATCCACAAGGAGGTATTAGATCCTTGATACAACCGATAACATGCGTATTTTCATTAATGACACTACTTTCCGATCATGTTATACGAAATATGAAGGACTTAGTGGTGGCTCATTCTATTGGCGAGCTCGAGGGAGTGTCATCCAATGTCGAAATTGCTATTACAAATCTTGGTGTTCTGGCTCTGGTCAAGCATACGGAACTACCGTTTCCTTTAACGGATTAAATCATTGTAATTTTACTACCTTTCATGATATAGGAATTGATATTAATTTATATAATTTCGGAATTGGCCAAAGTAGAGGAAATGTTTTCATAAATAATAATAACCTAACAAATTGCCAATGCAGAGATAATGCAGGTGTAACTTCAAATGCTTATACTACTTGCTATCAAAAATTTTCTAATTATCGTAATATAATAAATGGTTTTGGATCGTTTCTATTTATAAATTTATATTGCAACAATTGTTCTTTTTATCAAAATATAAATTTTATTAACAACACATCGCCAGATTCAATATATAATAACGGCCAGATATCAGGCAATGTCACTTTTCAAAATTGCGTTTTTAAAGATAATACATGTAAAGTCATTATTAAATGCTCACATTCAGTCAACACTATTATTTCTGACATGTATATTGAAAGTGAATCAAAGATATATGGTAATATTATATATTCAAACACAAAAGTTGCTGAAGAAGACCCAAATATTCTTCTTCCATTAGATGAAAATGTTTGTTTGAGAACTCATTACCATATTAAAGAACTTAGCCCATATCACATTTTTTCAATAAGTCTCTATTTAGGAATTCTATGCTGAGTTATAAAATATTATATCATACAAATAGTGAGTTAGTATAATTTATTTATGTTAAAAAAATAGTGTTAGTTTAAGAATTTGAGGAAATTGAATAATTCTTTAAGGCTCTGGTCCCACCATCTCAATTTTGAGAATTGAATTTATCCGTCAATAATAGTTTTCATGACTTAGAATCAAAGCTATTATATTAGTATAATATAAGTTATAATATTTTATTATGATGCATAACATAGCATTGCTAGAAAAATCTTATTGATGGATATATTCAATTTTAAAAATTGAGAGTGTGGGACCTGAGCCTTAAGGGTGCACTTATCACTTTCTGACATGCTTGCATTATATCAATTTATCTTTATTGCAGTTGCAAAAAGGTTTAACAGTGATATAAGGTACTATGTTGTGATTTAAAATGACTTTTTCCTCTAACAAAATTATAAACCTTTTTTCCTTTGAAAATTTATCTAAAAAGCTAGAGTGTCAAAAATATTGAGAGATTGTCAGAAAGTGGTAAGTGCTCCATTAAAAAAAAGGGAGAGATGCGAAAATTACAAACAATTTTATAAACAAAGATAAATTTAAAGGATTTGAACTGCATTATTTGTATCAGTGGATGCTTTACTTCTTAAAATCAGAGGACTATCTTCTTCATTATATCCAACGATATCATTTGTTCCTATTTCAGTTCCTGGAGGATAACTGAGTCTTCTTATTCTGAAAACTGCATCATACATTAAAAATCCAACGATTTCTATAGCAGATGCCAAATATAAAATAATTGTTGACAAAGTAAAAGATTGGCCACTGGATTTATCAATCAGATATATGAGCGGTAAAGAAACTAATATTGTTGCACTTCTAATGCAACCTAAAATTGATCTTGTTCGATCTGTTGCTCTTTCGATTAAAAATACTGATAATATATGATAGAATGTAACAAATAAGATGTAGAGCAACACCAATACTATTAACGTCGTACTATTTTTAATCATTGAAATTGTATCGAAAATATTTTCATGTAAGCTGTTAAAACCTGGAGTTTTAACGAAATGGAAGATAGGTAAAACGAAACAGATGCATAACATCATTGATATTATGCCTTCTAACCCAATTAACATTTCAACTGGATCAGAAGGGTCTGTAAAGTATCTGAACTCGAATAATATTTGGCAAGCTTGAAAGAACTGAGCAAGTAATGAAAAGAGAATTGATCTTCCACGAATTAATTTTGTTTCTGAGCCTAAAAACGCGTATTGAATAGCTATTGTGCATGTTGAGATAAAAATCAAAGCGATAAATATGATTTTGTATGTGTACACTCTCTGTCTATAGAAAATATAAGAGAGAAAGTAATCGAAAAAGTAAAACGTTCCTCTAAGCATGTGCCAATCTCCCAGTGGCATATTTGAGAGGCTTATCATATTAAGACTAGTAGAAATAACTTCGAACACTGAAATTAATATAATTCTGATTACAAGGTTCCAAAAATTTTGATTTGTAGATGTTACATGTATTTGATTCGATGAGGACATAAGCGATCTTATAATGTAAAAGACTGATACTAAGCCGGTTCCGAGATATTGCATTAATGAAAGGCAAATTGGCCTTTGAAACTTAATTGGACTCGTTTCACTGGTAACACTATATCTGTTAAATGCTATTTTCGGTAATATACATGTTGAAACGCCTACAACTATAAAGAGAAAATAAAAAAATAGAATTGATGCTTTTATCATTTGACACTTTTTTATAGTATTCAGAATAAAAGTGACAAAATTGAATGGTAGAAAAAGTTGAAATTCTGAATCAAAAATGGGAAGATGAGACAATATCTTTCACATTAGAATTCATTATTTCCAATACATGCAATAAATCTGACTTCGAAATGGTGTTTATTAATGATATTGCAGGAGATCAACTCGAATTTCCAGTAGAGGCTAAATTTTCAACAAAGAAAATCAAAAATCAGACAAAAGTGACAGTTCAATGTGACTATCCTTTGATCAAATCAACAAATTTGTCGTTTGATAAAATCACAAACTTCAGCGCCTTCAAGATAGTCAATAAAAAGATCGATTTAGAGCTCAACATACCAGCATATTGCGGAAGCGAAAACGGAAAAGACATTGTTGTCGAAATTTACAATCCACAATAATTATATTTTGCTATATCTATATAAAATGTATTTGTAATTAGAGTAAAACCTTTCTTTAGTAATTGTTTAATTATAACATCCTTACTTTTTTCATATTTACTTTCAAAATAAAATCAAAGTGCTCATTGAGGTGCTTTTACAAGTTAATAAGTGTTTTAATGTTTTAAACACATACATTTAAGGGAAATAAGTTTTGAATCGAATTTGAATAATGATAGTCCTTAATTAAGCCAAATGGTTAATGACAGCCCAATAAAATAGCTCAAATTCAATATAAAATGGTTAAACTAGAGTAAATGTTCTTTGATCTTGAAATGGCGAGGACGATTATCAAGTTGAGTAGGAATGCTTTTGGCAATTATGATAGAATTTTTGATAAAATGTGTATTTAGGTATATACTCTAATTTTGAACTATTATTTCTTTGCCGGAAAAAAAAAATTCTAGGCCGATACAATGTAATGAAATTATAGTACAAAAAGTGACAAATTCGAATGACGGAAGACGAAAAATTTGTCCTCCAGACTTCGCTCGTATCACAAATACGCCAATTCACACAAGGTCCAAGAGGAGATACCTTTTTATGCAAATTTAAAGCAAAGAAACGTAAATTAGTTTTTAAATACGTTGCATTTCAAGATAAAGCGCAGAAAGAACAGTTCATTCGCGAAGTCAAGCTCCTTAAAGAATGCGTGCATCCAGCTCTTGCACACTACGAAGGCTACAACCCTCCTGGCGCTGATAATAAATGCATGATTGCCACTTCATATATAGCAACGACATTAGAGGAAATCCTTAAGAGAATCAGCTCTGGTGAGAAATTCGAATTTGGACCAACGCAAATGATAATTATAACTCTTGGCATAATTTCAGGTCTGAAATTTTTACATTCGTTAAAAATCACTCACAAGAACCTCAAACCCTCGAATGTACTCATAGATAAGAATTTCAGGCCGTTGGTTTCGGATTTCTATCTCAATTTTCATCATCCGCAAATCAAGAGTTTGTATTATCCAGACGAAGAAATGATGCAAGAGAGCGATATATTTGCTTACGGCACGATATTATACGAAATGTTTACTGGTAAAGTGATAAATGGCAGTCAATTTCCACAAACCAAGCCATCTCTCCCTACACACCTTCCAATGATCATCAGGAAGATCATATCCGCATGTTGGTCAGAGAATCCGATGCACAGACCATCCGCAAATGACATTTTCCAGTTACTTTCCATAAATCTTGACCAAATTAACCCAGACTCCGACATTTCAGTGACTCGCACATACCTATCTCTACTTCTTGCATTCGAGAGAGAGCGTCTGATGAGTATTTACGGTGATCCACAGTGCACACAGAACTTTGGCAAATTCCTTTTGGACACGAGTTCATGTTTATCATACCAAGTCATGGGAAACAGGTTCATCAACAGTCAGCAACACAATCCGCCCGAGAAATCTCCTTCAATGGACAATGTTGCTCATCCAGTGAAGAAAGGAACGAAAGAAGTGAAGAAGAAAGGAAGAGTTTCGAAACCATCGGGATCAGACAGTGGAGGAAGTTCCCCACGCGATGTCTCTGGAAGCAAAAAGAAGAAGGCAGCAGGAAAGACATCAAGTGGAGGCCAAAACGCATCAACACCTCCTAAACCAAAGAATTTCACAGAAGACCCATTCGAAGCAAGTAAAAACGGGGATGTTCCATCGATGAAATACATCCTTTCATGTACTGATTTTGATGTTTCTCAGAAGAACAAATCAGGATTGACTGTTTTCCACATCGCAGCTCAACTAGGAAAAGTCGATATGTTGAAGGCGATCTGTTCATGTGTTAAACCACAAACAGTTATAGATCTTCCTGGTGATTGGGGAAGAACGGCTCTTCATTATGCAGCAGAAGCAGGTCAATTAGAAGCAGTGCAGTACATTGTTCAGATGAGAGGAGGTCATGGATTCCCTGTTAGTGATGATGGTCGTACTCCTCTACATGATGCAACAACAGAAGGACGAACAGATGTTATTAAATTCTTGTTGAGTTGCAAAGATGTCGATGCGAACAAACGTGATGAGAATGGATATACTGCACTTCATTTTGCATGTGAAGGAGGTCATCTTCAGGCAGCACAAGTTCTCTTGAATTTCAAAGGAACAAATCCAAATGAACGTGATGAAGAAGGTGCTACACCACTTCACTATGCATGTGCAGAAGGAAGAGTCGATGTTGTCTCATTGCTTGTCGAATGCAAACAAGTCGATGTTAACTGCACAGATTCAGAAGGAAGAACTCCTTTACATTATGCAGCATTTCAAGGTCAACTTGCAGCTGTTCAGAAGTTGTTGAGTTGTAAGGGAATTGACATCAATGCACGAAACAGCGACGGACAGACAGCAAGTGATATCTCAACGAATTCAGATATCACCGCTCTTCTTATTAGTAAAGGCAAGAAATGAATTTTAACATTAATATGAATATGAATAATAGATTATTTATTGTTTTTTAATAAAAAAATACCAAAAACGATTTTTCAAATCATTTTGTCATCACAGACACTGGATTTGGTAAAGGCCAACGCCTGAAATACAATTATCAGGGCCGAATTTTGAGGCGAATGTCCATTTGATGGATGTTCTCATTAAAATTCGGCCCTGAAAGACATAAAATCACGGGTTCTGGCCTTAGCAGAAACCAGAGCCTCGCATACAGTCGACAGAGCCGGATTTCTTAATTGCCGTCCTGTTCTAGTGCTGCATGAAAAGAGTCCGGACCTAAAAACGAGGAAATACGAAGCTCTGGTCTCAGGATAGGTCAGGACCTTCAAATTTCATCCTCAGGGCCGGATTTGAGGGAGATTGTCCTTTTCATGGACAATCTCTTCAAGACTCGGCCTTTAAAGATAGAAATATCCAGACTATCACTTATATTGACGTCAGAGTCCGGAAATACAATATAATCTTTTTCAATTATCATTGATGGAGAAAGTTGAGAAAGGAGTCCTTTCTCAAAGTTAGGACTGCTTTCTCAGCTCTCTCATACTGAACAGAGAGGTTTTATCCAATTTTGAATTGAGATATTTTAAGATCTTTCAAATTTTCACTGTTTTTCATCTTCTTATATTTACTATTCAATATATTTCCCTTAAATAAGCATCTTTCATAATCAAACACACTTTGAAATATTATTATAACAATTAATACATAAAAATGCTAAAACTATCAATATTCATACATATAAATGCATAACTAGTATAAATATTTTAGTATTTTATCAATCACTGTTTCTTATATTTAATATTTCTAACTTTATTTAAAAAATTTCTTTCAATATTAATTATAAACCTAAATCATTTTAATAACTTCATATAAAACACATGGTGTGACCTCACCCATATATAAATGCTTATATTTATCCAACTATGATATATATATAATTTTTATATACTATATTTTATCCTGTGCGTATCAATTATGATCTTCCCTTGGATGAGTTCTGATCACTGCCTAACATTCAACAAAAAAATATTTTTCCTATAACCATTTGTTTAATTTAAACTAAAAATTGAGACTTTTAGTTTAAAATTTTGTCACCTTTGAACTTATACTCATATTCCTTTGAATAAAAATAAGTTTTCAAGTTGTTAATTGAATGATATTCAAAAATAACCTTATTCCAATAGAATTGAATAAAGTATTCAAATATAACCTTATTGCAATTGGCAGATTATACAAAGAAAAAAATATAAGTGATCGAAAATATATTCATTCGTAAATCAAGAAGTTCCATGGCGAGAATTCTTTGGTGATGAAACATATATCAGTCTCTTCAGAAAAAATGGATTTGGTCCATTTTCCAAAGGAGTTGCAAATTCGTACTTCATCAGAAGATGTATTTATGCAGAACTCTATCCACAAGGAGGGATTAGAATCACTGATACAACCGCTGACATGCGCATATTCATTAATGACACTACTTTCCGATCATGTTTTACAGATTATCAAAAACTTAATGGTGGCTCTTTCTATTGGACACAACTAGAGAGTGTCATCCAATGTCGAAATTGCTATTACAAATCTTGGTGTTCCGCCAATGGTCAAACATATGGAGCTACCGCTTCCTCTAACTCAATAAATCATTGTAATTTCTCTACTTTACATAATATAGGATTAGATGCTAAATTATATAGTATTGGAATTGGCCAAAGTCGAGGAAATGTTTTCATAAATAATAATAACCAAACAAATTGCAAATGCAAAGATACTGCGGGTATAGTTTCAAATCAATTTACAACTTTTTATCAAAAATTTTCTAATTATCGTAATATAATAAATGGTGATGGATCGTTTCTATTTCTAAATGATAAATGTGACAATTGGGCTTTATATCAAAACATAAATTTTATTAACAACACAGCGTCAGATACAATTTATTCCAGCGGTCATAGATCGAATAATGTCACTTTTCAAAATTGCATTTTTAAAAATAATACAAGCAATTACATTATTAAAAGTTTCTATTCAGCCACATTTGTCATTTCTGACATGTATATTGAAAGCGGATCAAAGATATATGGTACTGTAATATATTCAAACACAAAAGTTGCTGAAGAAGAACCAAATATTCTTCTTTCATTAGATGAAAATGTTTGTTTGAGAACTCACTACCATATTAAAGAACTAAGCCCTTATAACATAATTTCAATTAGCATATATTTAGGATTCTATACTGAGTAAAAATAAATGCCCCAGTAATTAATGAGCGATAAAGAAACAAGCAAGAGGGAACAATGTAAAATCATAAGTAGATTATTTCAGCCAAATTAGAAAATAGAGATCGTTTAATTATTTGAGGGAATTGCAAATAAATATTTCTATGCTGAGTAGTTAGTAAATGTTTATTTTAAGAATTTAAAGAAAATTGTGTGATTTGCATTTGCCAAGATAACGAAATATGTACTTTGCTTGAAGATTCTGAATTTTATTGCTGCAATTCCTCTTCAGGTGAATCTATATTATCAAATATTATAATCTTATATCACTAGACTATCTAAAATACAGATCTTATAATTATCCAATTATATTACTTCGTTTCAAAGGTTATCTAGATAATATCTTACATCGCCTTTTGCAATTGAGAGAGCAGTTTTTCCGTCATTATTCTTTGCTTCTTTATCAGCTCCAACTGAGATTAGATATTTAACAACTTCAAGATGGCCATCCTTTGATGCCCAAATGAGCGGGGTATATCCATCATTATCTTTTGCTTCTTTATCAGCTCCAATAGAGATTAGATATTTAACAACTTCAAGATGACCACTCCATGATGCCAAAATGAGTGGAGTCCATCCATTTTCATGTTTTGCTTCTTTATTAGCTCTAACTGATATAAGGTACTTAACAACTTCAAGACGACCATCCCTTGATGCCAAAAGTAGAGGAGTATATCCAGCATTAGATGTTGCTTCTTTATTAGCTCCAATAGAGATTAGATATTTAACAACTTCAAGATGACCTTCCCTTGATGCCAAAAGAAGAGGAGTCCACGCAAGTACATCTTTTGTTTCTTTATCGCAGCCACATTCGATGAGAGTTTTGACAAGATTAAGATTTCCTTCATGACTTGCAATATGAAGAACATTTCTATCATATTTTGTTGTTTCATTTTTCCAAAGTCCTTCTTCACAGGCCTTTGACATCATTTCACGATCTCCTTTCGAAGAAAGTTCATTAAGGAATTGGTAAATACTTTCAAAGTTACTAGATCTCTTAAGTTCATAGATTCGGGCTAAAACCGCTTTTGAATGTTTGTGATTTTCAGTTACATTTTGTAGTTTATTTTGTAATGAATTTAATTTTGTTTGAAGTTTTAAGATTTCTTCTGTAGAATCTTGTACTTCTTTGTCTTTTTGATTTAAAATATCAATGACTCCATCAAATGTATTGAATTTCATGTATGTTTTGACAGATTGAAGAATTGAAACAGCTTCCTCGAAATTTTGGATAGTAACATTTGCTTTTCGTGTGCTGATATATAATTCTTTGGCGTTGATAGTTGATGAAGATTGTTTGAGAAGAGAAATGTACTGATCAACTGTCAAATGTGAATATTTCATGATTGTTTTGATATCTTCTATATCAAATGTATCAAAAAAGTTTTCATTTTCAATATAGTCACTGATGTGAGTAGCGATATATTCGAAATTCAGATCCATGGCCTGCGTCACTTTTTGAAAATTGTAACTTTACAAAAAAATCAAAGAAAAAATTCAAATTGAAATTTAGATTAAAAACGATTTCATTGATATATTTTCTATAAAAAATATATCAATGAGATTTCATTTAATTATATTATAGGGTGTCCAAAGGTGCGTTTAGCACAGCGCTCTATATGAGACTATTAAAGGAGATATATGCTGATTATAAATATATAATAAAAAATATGAATATATGTATATGATGAGTATGTTGTATTTTGGCGCCATGCCGGGATATAAAATGAATTTTGAGACAAGAGGCGGTTTCGCGGGAAATTTTGGCGGGATTTTTTTCATTTTTTTAATGAATCATAAAGAAAACATCCTCGCTCTTGCAAAAAAATGCAAAGACTGTAAAAAAATCTACGAGACATTGGTAAAATGCTTCGGTATGGATGCTCCTAGCTATTCCACTGTAACGTATCATGTTAGGATGTATCACTTCATGAACAAAAAGGCGCCCATCATAAAAATTGACAAAAAATCGCCGGATCAAAGAAAAATCAAAGCAATTCTTCAAGCGCTAGATGAAGACCCAAGAGCATCACTCAGAAGGATAGAGGAGATGACAAAGATACCACGTACAACAGTCAGTTATTATCTGCACAATTATTTGAACTACAAACTAGCGTATACACGTTGGGTTCCGCACAACCTTAATTCAGTTCAAAAAAAATCTAGAGTCCAATCTTCGAAAGAGCTCCTCTCTATATTGGGTGCGTATCAATCCAAGAAGTTTCGCTTTTTAGTAACAGGGGACGAGTCTTGGTTTCAATATGCAACAGAAGCCAAAATCATGTGGATCCCGAAGGATGAAAATCCGCAAACATTCCCGAAGAAAAAAATTGACACACCAATGATGATGTTGTCGGTTTTTTGGGGCGTGAATGACATCATCGCAATTGATATTCTTCAAAAACCTAATACGATGAATGCTCAGTATCTAATTGACAATGTTCTTACTCAAATTATCAATTCTGATGAGTTTGAGAAATCCAAACAACAAAAACAAAAGTTTGCAATTCATTTTGATAATTCAAGAGTTCACAAAAGTCATAAGGTAATGAATTACTTGGTGGAAAACAATGTCAAAGTTGTTCCAAACCCAATTTATTCACCTGATATTGCACCCTCTGACTTTTATTTATTCGGCACGCTAAAAAAGAGAGCTGAAGGACGCGAATTCGCGAGTCCAGATGATCTTGAAAATTTTGTAAGAGAGCAATTTGAGCAATTTTCTCATGATGATTTAAAGCGTGTCTTTCAAGCCTGGATCGATCGCTGCGAACGCGTGATTGAATCCAATGGTGATTATATTTAAATAAACTTTATATATATGTAACTTATTTATTTCTATTCGCAGTATTCAGGTTTGTGATAAACACACCTTTGGACACCCTATATTACTCGTAAATCAAGAATTGTGAGCTTAGAAGCTCTGGTATAGAACCAATACTTTTCAACATCCAATATTACCTAGAATGAACCCATTTCACAAGATCGACATCTTTGTAATATTTGAATGAAAGTTACTGAGGTATTCAGGCATCTAATGTATAAAAAACATTATATTCACACCACCAAGTAAAAGAAACCATGTCCGAACAAAATATCTTTCAGTAATAGGAATTGAGTATCGCGAAAGACTATGATGGAATCAGCATTTACTTGCTACACGTCACTCTTAGAAAGCTGCAAATCTTTAGATTAATTTAAAGACTCACTCACGTTATCCTATGATTTACCAAGAGAAATAACTGCAATTGTTATATCAGTATTTTGTATGCTATTGTGGAAAAATTTACTAAATCACAAATGCTGACAGTAAAAATAATTGTGATTTTACAGGCGTAAATTTGTCAAAATATGCTATAATTTGTGATAGTGTTTAACAAATTTGTGAAGAATAATTTTACCTTCATTTTTTAAGAATGGTGCTATTGCAACTGAACAATCCAATATTTCAGCGAATTAATGACTACCAAGTGCAAGATAAATTTACATTATTAATCAACAATACTCCATTTATTATTAACATGTCTCTTGCTGTTGGAATTTCAAAGAGTATTCATTCGATATACTTATCAGATAAAACAGTTCGCAGATTCGAAACAAGTTTTAATATAATATCTCCAGATACATATGATGTATTAAGAGATATTTTGCAATTAAACAAAACAGAGATCGAATGCGATGAAATAGTTTTAAAAGACCTCTTCAATATAATTTGGGAACTTGGAATTGTTTTACTTGAATATTACTACTGGAATCATGTTATTAAAGATATGGAAATAGATGAAAAGAATTGCATTCAGTTGCTTGAATATTACTTTGCTGTGAATTCCGAACAACATCTGAAAAAATGCATTAATTTTATTTCATCGCACTTTTATGGAATTGATTTAAATCAACTCAAATCAATTTCACAAAAACTGGGATTTGATATTCTTGAGAGAATAATTAAAAATGATAAACTTGCAATTGGCGATGAAGATTCATTTGCCAAATTCATTGTATCATCAGCTAAAGAAAGTGAAATCTTCATGCCATTAATAGAGTACATCCATTTCGAAGATTGCAAAGATGAGATTATTGACGAAATCAAAGATTTTTGTGATGAAAAGAATTATAGTAATATTATTAAATCTTTTCATGAATCATTTAAAAGATCCAGAAATCCGAATAATGAAAACGATCATTGTTTTATTATTAATCATAAAAATTCAGATGATTTTGATGACATATATCAATTCTTCGAAGATCTCGCTGAAAAAGGAAATCAAACAATGATATTAAACGCCATTAAAGAAGGACTACATGATAAAAGGGATGACCAAGGAAAAGACATTCTTAGCAAAGCCGCTAATGAAGGAAATCTTAAACTTCTTAAAACTCTAATTGAATGTGGTTGCTGTATCGAAGTAAAAGATAGTTTAGGTAATACGCCGCTCATTAATGCAATTGCAGCTGAAAAAATTGAAGTGGTTCAATATCTTGTATCTATTGGAACCGATAAGGAAACTAAAAACCTTTTCGGATTTACTCTACTTTATACTGCTACATATTTTAATCGTCTTGAAGTTGTTAAGTATCTTATTTCAATTGGAGTTGATAAAGAATCCACAGGAATAGCAAATAGCACACCACTTATTGTTGCATCTAAAAATGAATATCTTGATATAGTCCAATATCTTGTGTCAATTGGAGCTAATAAAGAAGCAAAAAATAAAATTGGCCAAACTCCGCTTATGATTGCTTCAATAAATGGTCAACATGAAATTGTTCGATATCTTGTTTCAACTGGTGCAGACAAAGAAGCAATGGATAATGATGGATGTTCTCCAATTGATTATGCATCAATGAAAGGTCATCTTGAGATTATTCAGTATCTAGTTTCTGCAGGAGTAAACAAAGACAAACGGAATGCTAATGGGTGTACTCCACTCATTTTTGCATCTATATTTGGCCATATTGAAATTGTTAAGTACCTCATATCTATTGATGCTGATAAAGAAGCAAAGAATCAAAAGGGAAATACAGCACTTATTTTTGCATCGTTTAACGGAGAACTTGAAATTGTTAAATATCTTATTTCAATAGGAGCTGATACTGAAGCAATAAATAACAATGGAGAGACTTCGCTCCATATGGCATCAAAAGGAAATAGTCTTGAAATAGCAAAATATCTTATTTCTATTGGAATCGATAAAGAAGTAAAGGATAAAAATGGAGGAACCCCGCTTCATACTGCATCAAAATACGGAAATATTGATATTGTTAAATTCCTGATCTCAATTGGAGCTGATATAGAACCAAAAGATAATGATGATCATACACCTCTTGTAAATGCATTATATTCTGGTAACTTTGATGTTGTTCAGTATCTTATTTCCATCGGAGCAAATAATAGTTTGCAGGGAGTACCAGGGACAGTATCACTATTGTTTGCATCACTTCAGAATAGGCCAGATATTATAGAATCTCTTATTAATCATGGAGCCAATACCGAAGTTAATGAAAAAACTAACGCAAATTCTCTCATTATGGCAGCATCTTTAGGAAAAGTCGAAACTATCAAACACCTAATTGCAATTGGAGCAAATAAAGAAGTTAAAGGAAAAGATGGAAAAACACCTCTCATTGTTGCATCAGAAAAGGGTAATTTAGATGTTGTCAAATATCTTATCTCTATTGGTGCTGATAAAGAGGCAAAGAATGATGATGGATGGACTGCATTAATGTGTGCTTGTGGATGCGGTAAACTTGAAGTTGTAAAATATCTTATATCAGTTGGGACAGATAAAGAAGCAAAAGACAAGTATGGACTGACACCACTTCATTATTCAGTAACAGAAGACGAAATAGAAATTATAAAGAGTCTTATTGAAGCTGGAGCAAATAAGGAATCAAAGAATTTTGCAGGACAAACTCCTTTATGTGTTGCCTGTTTTACTGGCATTTATAATGTTGCCGAATATCTCATCTCTTTAGGAGCTAACATAGAAGCAATCGATATAGGCGGAAACACAATTCTTAATTTTTTATCTGGTATGGGCCAACTTGATGCTATAAAGTTTCTTATTTCAAAGGGAGCAAATAAAGAAGCAAAGAATAAAGTTGGAAACACAGCACTAATAACAGCATCTAGCATGGGAGAACTTAATGTGGTGCAATATCTTATTTCAATTGGAGTTGATAAAGAAGCAAAGAATAATGAAGGAAACACAGCTCTCATTATGGCATCAGACCGAGGTCATCTTGAAATTGTTAAATACTTGATCTCAGTAGGAGCCAATAAAGAGGTTAAAAATAACAATGGACTCACAGCACTTTCTGTCGCCATAAAAGAAGTCAAAGATTTTCTTTTATCAGTTTGAGTGAAGTAAATGAAATTCAGACAAATTTTACCGAGTAAATAAATTAAATTCATATCTTGATATATTTTTTGTTATCGTTTTCAAATTTTTCGGATTCAAAAATTGCTGACATGTTCAGATGCCTATCTAATGATAAATTTTCAAATGCCCACGAAAACATTAAAATCATTTTGACTCATTTTTATAAACGGCTACCTTATATTTGACACAATGTCAACAATATTTTAATGTAAAAAACCTCCAATTCTCACAAATGACTACAATAGAATTTACAAATTCTCTCAAAACCCAATTACCCTCCCAATTTGGAAATGTTACAAATATTCTATAGAAAAACAAAAATCAAATCTTATTGATATGTCTATGAATCCCATTTACAGAAATATATATATACACCTATTATAAATCACCATATAGTCGGGTGCGTTAGCGGAAAATGGTGCGTTAGAGGAAAATCTGACACAATTTTTTTTCTTTTTGAGTATTTTTTCTCATTTTCCTCAAGCTGTGTTCTTTAAAAGTGTGATATTATATGAGCATATATGCTATACTATATGTGTAAAATGTATGTATTATATACATGTATGTTTTTATTAATTTAATGTGAAGATCTCGAAATCTTTGATTGCAAAAAAATCTCGAAACTTGAGGTCGCTTGGAGTGTATACATATTCTTTACAGTGGGAGAGATATTTATGCACTACATTTAGCTCTTCATCGCAACCCAGTGAGTCTCTGAAGTTATGTAAAATCCGAATTTTTTTACTTTATTCACAGACTAGTGAGAGTGATATCTCAGATCAGATAAAAACTATGATGAATAGATAATATATCTTGAGTGTGTTATATCTTCTGCAGTAATCACATTGCTATCAGTGTTATGTGTAGAGCTATATTGAGAATATGTCAATTTTTGCATGTGAATTTTTTGATGCAGACAAATCCATAATACCTCTGAATAGGCAAAAAACAGTAATATATACTAATATGGTGGTGTGTAGAATATATGATTTATTAGGTTTAAATTGGTATTAGTCGTATCTTATGGTGACGTTTTTTCACATTTTTCATTCTTAAAAAAATTCAAATTTTGATTTTGAAATTAATGACATGTGTTTTTCTCCGATCAATTTCACCTGACAATATTATAAGTAATTAATGTACATTATAATTATATTATTGTTTTCCCTTACAGTCTCAGCTCCTCGGTTGAAATCCAAACTGCTTAAAATTTTTGACAAAATTTTTTCTAGTTCTCATATTGAAGAGATATCACTATGTTGGTTGAGAAAGAGTGATATGATATTAATTATTATAATATATAGAAGTTATTCTTCACTGAAAGTATATGATGAGATGGTAAGCATATAAAAATTAGTTCATATATGAGAAATTTAATAATAATTATAAAATGTGAAAAAACGTCACCATAAGATACGACTAATACCAATTTAAACCTAATAAATCATATATTCTACACACCACCATATTAGTATATATTACTGTTTTTTGCCTATTCAGAGGTATTATGGATTTGTCTGCATCAAAAAATTCACATGCAAAAATTGACATATTCTCAATATAGCTCTACACATAACACTGATAGCAATGTGATTACTGCAGAAGATATAACACACTCAAGATATATTATCTATTCATCATAGTTTTTATCTGATCTGAGATATCACTCTCACTAGTCTGTGAATAAAGTAAAAAAATTCGGATTTTACATAACTTCAGAGACTCACTGGGTTGCGATGAAGAGCTAAATGTAGTGCATAAATATCTCTCCCACTGTAAAGAATATGTATACACTCCAAGCGACCTCAAGTTTCGAGATTTTTTTGCAATCAAAGATTTCGAGATCTTCACATTAAATTAATAAAAACATACATGTATATAATACATACATTTTACACATATAGTATAGCATATATGCTCATATAATATCACACTTTTAAAGAACACAGCTTGAGGAAAATGAGAAAAAAATACTCAAAAAGAAAAAAAAATTGTGTCAGATTTTCCTCTAACGCACCATTTTCCGCTAACGCACCCGACTATACACGACATAATATGTTCCTATGATATAACTGTTATATTTGTTTTGCTATTACAATAAAGATAATGGAAATTTCTCCTTTAAAAAAATATTATACCCAAATTAAACAAACAAAAAATAAATATGGATTTATATAAAATAAACAAATAATATAAAAAAACACGAGAATGAATTACCAATAAGGACACCAGCCGTCGTAGTGAGTGACATAACGGTGGTAATCAGATGCAATAGAAATCAAACGAGATGTTTGTTCTTCAACACTCAGTTCTTCACTAACATCGCTGCCACTTTCAATGCTTGGATCAAGACCGTTGAGTTTCATAGAAACACGGTTCATAATTGCTGTTCCATTGTTTTGTGAATCACGAGATGCGAAGATTGGTTCGTGAACAAATATCTCGAGTTGTGCAAATATTGATGATTTGTTCTTTCGAAGGATGTAAAGGACGTTCTCACACATTGTTGCGAATTGACCTGCTGTTTGTGAAACACCCAATGCATTGACAATCATTCGAGTAAGACGGAATGGAACTTTCTCTGGCATCTTAGGTCTAGTCTGTGTTACTTCGAATGAATCTCCGAAATCGATGTGAACAACATGTCCTTTCTTTCTTTGTATCATTATATTCGATGGATGTCTGTCTCCCAATCCAACAACATATCCAGACATTGACATCAATGCTGTACTAAGAGAAAACGTATCAACACATCTTAGCCATGCAACAGGGTTTGGAGATTTCATCCAGAAGTAATCACGAAGTTCTGTTGCTGGACATTCTTTTGAAATTTTGTCCCACATTTCAAGTTTCTGAATTGAATGCAAATACTGTGCACAGCTGCCGACATATGATGCTGTTATGTCATTCTCTGCATTGACAGGTATATTCTGCATCTTCCTGTAATCAGTGACAAGTTGATGCATAGTGTCTGCACCCGTAACCCATGAAATTAATCCTGCATTAACTGCCAAAGGAGTAATGGAATAATTAATAATAGTTATTCCTGTTTTCTGGGTGACTTTGTTTGATTTAACTAATGAGTTAATCAAATCAAAGAACTGCATGATTCTTTGGTCCAACCTCAAGTCTTCATTTCCTTTCAAAAGGAACTTCCATTTAGCACCATCTGAACCGTACATGTACAAAATTCTCGGGTGTTGTTGTGTATTTAAAACAGGGAGAGTTGAATCAATTGAAATAATTGATGGTCCTTTGTTCGTTGTTGTATATGTTCCTGGGATAGATAATTTGAAATCTCTTTTCTCAGACAATTCCTGACAAACTGTTTCAAGTTGGATGACATCCATCTTGTTGATTTTCTCGCGAATTGTCTGGAAAAACAAACGAACAGGAGACCACATTTGATTAACTTCAAATTCTTTCTTCGGATTCTTATTAATTGCGTTGATAACAGTGTTAAACTGTGTATCAACGGATTTCAATTGTGTCTCATCTAATTTGCATCTTTTGTTTTGACGCATTGTTGTCATTGTTTTCAGTTTCTGCATTGATCTTTCTCTGTCTCCTGAGAGTTCCAAATGATAAGCTTCATCAATTCTGGAATACCAGATATCGTAATAAGTAACAGCGGATCTTGATAATCCATCACTTAACATCGAAGCTTCTGAAGCCAATTCTGGATGAGGAAGAGAGATTTTTGATAAAATATCTCTTGCTATTTGACTTTTCTCGCTTTCAACATCATTTGCAATTAATTGTATTTGGTAAACAACGCTTTGGAAATGATGTGCGGCAATGGAAATAATTAGTTGATGAACAAGGTTGCGAACAACTTCTTCGCTGTGAGAAATATGACAAACAATCTGTGGAAGGATTTGTTCAATGACAGGAGGTAATAATTCCTTAATACAAGTGAAAATATCTTCTTGGAATGTCATCTTCTTCGAATAACGGAACAAAAGACTGAATAATTGGCAAAGATATTCCAATGTGTTTGATGTATGCAAAATACTTGCACGAAGGAAACCATTGATTGCCATTTGCACGTATTTGTCGTCTTTGTCACTGTCATCAACATTCTTTGATGCAGTGTATGCCCAGTTCGACCATGTTCTGTAGTCATTTGCATAGAGATTTGCTGACTTCTGGAACATTTCGAGTGCATTGTCAACTGTTGAATATTCTTGGCCAATCCATGTAGCTTCCAATCGAAGCATTCGAGCTTTTTGTTTGTCATCAAATAAGTTGAATTTCCTTGATTTCACTGCGTATTCGTAAAATGAATCCGCTGTTGATTCAACTTTGAAATCTTTTGTGGAAATTACTTTTGCAAGTGATTCCAAACTGCTCTTATTTACATTGTTGAATGCTTCAATAAATGTTGATTTTTCCGTGATGGAATGTATTGCATTCAACAAATGTATTGCTTCAATTGCTTCATTTGCTTTTCCTCTGTGCCAAAGTATTTTAACAAATGAAACTTGAACATCAGGAGAGTCGATATGTTCAAGAACTAATGGTTGGAATCTATCAACTAAATTCCATTTTCTTTCTTTAACTAAAATAGACAACAACTTCAAATAAGTTCTTCTGTTTGTTGTTGGCGATGCAACTAAGTTTCTTATCTCAACAAGACGCATAAATGACTGACTATCTCCTGTTATATAACTTAATCTTCTGGCCCAAATCTTTGGAGGTTTTGTGATGTTTTGTTTTCTGAAATTAAGAGCTTCTTCAAGTTCAATGAAATGATTTGCGTAAATCAAATTAGTGTCAGCGCGTGCAGCATTCAATGAACTATATATTGAACAATTATTAACTAATAATTGCATTGCATATTTTAGAAGTTTTTGGGCGGCTTCAGTATTGTCACTTTTTACATAAAAAATCAACTTAAAAAGAATTGTTTCTAAGTTACTGTCATCACTATTCATATATGTCATGAATGAAGAGACATCGTTGAAATCATTACATTTCAATGATGCCCACGCGTACCACAGTGCTGTTTCACTCTTCTGTTCCGGACTCAAATACTGGAATTGGTCATTTAATTTACGAATATCATCCCATCTTTCCAAACGTGCATAACAACAAAGAATTGCTGGTAAATTTGTTGACTCCTCGCGAGTGTATATTTCAAGAGCTTTCTCCCATTGATTGAGTTTCTCATTCCATTTCGCTATGTTTGGCAAATCGACACCTTTCAGTTTGAGAAGACCTCGTGAATTATGATGACGAGATAAACGAGTATTCAAGTCAAGAAGGAACTCAATACCTTTAGTGTCATTTGGATTGTCATAATAAAATCTTGCCAAAAATCTACAACTTTGCATTGGACTGACACAAGCAGTTGCCAATGTATAGTTTGAAATATCGAAAGGAACTCCAGCTCTAAGTAATAATTCAGCCAAAGTAAGGAAGATTTGTTCAGGAGGATTAGTTGTATCTGTATAAATTTGTTCCATAACTTTGGAGAAATCACTTTTGACATCTTTAGGAGCATCTTTCCAACAACTTAAGAATGCAACGGGGAAAATGTCATTTCTAAAATCAGGTGAAGTGATTGCTGGTTGTAAACATGCTCTAATGCATGCATATGGTGATCCGCAAATCACTGCTTTGCAAAGATCTTCTAGCCATTTCTCTGTATTCGTTGGAACACTAGTTGTAAAGCTCTCAAAAATTCCTGTGGAAGAATTATAAGGTGGAGGCAAGAAAGAAGGGGGATCAACCTGGCAAACGATAATCATTGGAGTAATGAAAGAATCAATAGATAAAGATTTACCTGATAAATAATCTTTGAGAGCGGGAAGTCCAACATCTTTATCAGGTAAAAGAAATTCTAAGAATTCAACATTCAAGTGGCAGAAAATCACCAATGAATAAAGTAACTGCATGACATTATTCCTGTTACTTGTACCTAACAAAGGAATACATAATCTCGCAATTCGAGAACAGTCAAAAGTGACATCTGACAAATGAGTTATTGTTGTCAAAGAATTCAGCATCAAAGTGATTTCATCGGGACTTGGTTTGATGAGCATTCTTTGTTCGCATGCGAAAATGAAGTTATCCAATGGCTGGTTCTGGAAAATGACCGCGTATGTCAAAAATCTAAAGAGTTCTTTGGAAACTCCGTTCTTTGACATTCCCAAAATGTGACAACACTCTTGGTAAAGGGATGGAACGAAAGGAATGAACTCGCTCTTCAGGAAATAGCTTAGAACACTTGCTACTTTAAGCGCTTCTGGCATAGAAATGTTTTGCAAGATTAAATCTGTTAATGTTTTGGCATAACTTGCAACTCTGATGCCGGAATAGTAGCAAATGATTTCTAAGTGATTAAATAACACAACCCTTATTTTTGGCTTCGAAGTAAGTATCGCTTTTTCATAGCCTTTTATAATTGGTCGGAGGAACTTCACCGCTTGGTGGTGTTCGTAAACGAAGATAGATGTCACTGATTCGTATACGCAGGAATGTTCTTCATCAAGAATCTTAACTAATGAATTCAAAACGGAGTCGGTATAATAAGATGGAGATTTGAAATCGAACTCAATGTCATCGGAATCATCGTAAACGCTTTTATTCCTTGGGTATGAGGTAATTCCGAACGTTGCAAGTAGTTTCAAAATCAAAATGGCCACTTCTTCACTTGGTTTTTCTCTTAGAAGGGTAATTAGAGTATGAGGAAGGGTTGGTTGTGTGGTTGGTATGTTACTGGCAATATCTAGTTGGTTTACAATCTCTATTAATGAGTTCAAAGCGGACCTATAAACTAATTCTGTCCTGTTTTCGCTGAATACTGAAAGATAAATAGGCATAAGTTCATCTAAGTATGGTCCTAAGTGTTGTGCTAAGCATTTGAGTGTTTCAAAGAGATCTCCATCGCGTTTATCAATAAAATGTTTGTTTTCTATCTCAAAAACGCGATTTAAGTTGACACATGAAGCATCGAATGGACGTGTATTCGATATTAATAGGTTTCCATCATGATTCATGTCTCTTTGAATGACAGATAAAATTTTTGAATCTTTGTTTTTGTATTTTTCGGGACATAAGAAAGTATAACATACTTTTATCACTTGTGGAATATATGATGGACAGAAATTAAGCAAATGCTGTGAAATTAAAGGTAATAATGAAGAAATTTTTTGACAAATCGAAGGATTTGAAGTAGTAAGTATCGATATCATTGTCTGTTGTACAAGCATTGTAATTGGTACGTAAAACAGCATCGGATTCGATGGTGCGACTTGAGCAACTAATTTAATCGCGTTTCTTCGAACTGTATACGATGGATCTGTCAATATTTGAGAGAGTAATTGTAGTTGTTCGAGGTGAGAAGCTTTCAATTGGCTTACAGCAGCGGCTCTTACGGATTTCTCGGGATCGAAAAGAGCTAGGAACAGTAAGTCATCGAGAGCTTTCTTATTATGGAAAATGGGAAGAATTGTGACCATTAGTAATCGGACATTTTTACTTGGAGATTTGACTAAATAAGAAATCGTATCAAAAACGTTTTCTATGTTATCAAAAATGTGGCTGGTAAATTTGCTGAATATTGTAAGTGATAATATTTGATGATCAATGGTTGCTTTCGGTGAAATTCCTTCTTTGAATTTGGAAACTATTGTTGGCTTTAATTCTGTAAAGATACGCATTGACTTTCGTAATGCTGATACGTATTGCGGTGAAGGCTCTGCGTTTAAGAAGAAAGAAGCTGGAATTCGAATTGAATTTTCAAAAGTATCGATTAAATAACTAAGAGAATCGAAAGCAATAGCGCATATTTGAGGATATCTATGTTCTGTAACTGTAGATGCTAGGAAATCGATGATAAATGGTAAAAATGATTTAATTGTCGAAGGATTAAAAGATTTGAAGAATTCAAAGACCTTTTCGTATAATCTTAACGACATAAATTTTTTGCAGGCCGCAAATAGAGTAGAAAGTAACCTCGGAGCTGTATCTGGCGTAATAACTATTAATAAGGATTTGTTTTCAACAACTTTAAGTAAAGTGACGTACCATGAAAAACTAAGATTCTCGTACTTTAAATATGGAAATTTTTCGACTAAATCCATCACTGCCATTGCTTGATTTGGATTTACGTAAGTTTGAAGGATGTAATCGATAACGCGGATAGAACCATAGAGATTTTGGCATTGGGAACTTATTTTGTTTAAACATTCGTCAAATAAGGAATTTACGGGCGCAATATTGTTTTTGAGAGCTTTAAAATGCAATTGGAGTACTTTCGCTGACATTGTTTGAAGATCTATATCATCACAAGACAGCCATGTGCATAGCTGCTTGTAATTATTTGATGTTTCTTCAAAAACGTTTGGAAGTAGGAAGTTACCCGACTTGAAAAGCACATGTAAAGCGGAAAATGCGGTATGCTGACTTGTTATCCATTTAGAAGCACGAGATAACAATTCTCTCATAAAGTCAACGCATTCCTGGGATTCTGATGCACACCATGCGAATGTTTGCGCGGCACACATGATTTGTGTCTTATTTTTAGTTTCTAAAAGTTTTCGCATGAATGAAATATGAGTTCGAATTTGGTCTGCTGAGCGTGTGAAGTAATGTAAAATAGAAATATAGAGTAATGCGAGTAAGTAGTTGAAGCCTTTGTCAACATTTTGTAATTCTTTTAGCTTCGATTCCCAACTTTCGAAACATTGAATTAATTCTGCTTCGGTAAGCATTAAAAGATAATGGCCTAAACTGTGGACAAGCTCCATCCTGCGTTTTTCCCATATGTGGAATTGCCCTGAGGGATCTGCATCAGGAGGAATTGTCAAAGTTATCTCAGGAATCGCCATTTTTGATTATCGTTTTTTTGATATTTTCTAATCATTTCTCCATGAGTGAAAAACAATCTAGTTGGCAGCACATGGAAATATGCAGATGAAAACTCCAATAATTTTTGAAAATTACGGTATTTTTCCACAATTTTCAAATTTGAAATTATCAAATCAGGTGTTTTTTGATATGCATGTACATCACCATTGCAACGAATCAAATTAAAATCCCTGTTGATGTCTAAATTTTTAAAATTAATCAGTGAGATCGAAAATTGCAACATGATTTTATCCATATTGGAATTTACATAAACTTTATTATATGTGCTATTATATTTAGTTACAAAAACATTTAAAACTTATCATGAAAAAAAAGTTATAGGCAACACTTCACTTTCCTTAACCCTTAACAATAGAAATATTGACATAAAGATATATTTATTTTAAGAGAGCACTTATCATTGCCAAACATACTCTCATAAAATAAATTTATCTTTATTTCGAATTTATGTGATTTTCTAGGTAATATTATACCATGTTTAAATGAGATGGAACTTAAAAAGGTCAATATCATTTTAAAAAATGAAACGTTTAAATCGGATTATATATATAAATTTGGAAAAGAACAAATGAACATGGATGATTTTTGGTCAACAGTATTTGTAGGTGTGATAAATGGATCCTGTAGTTTATCAAACTTTCCAGAGTGTAAGTTACCAATTAATTATATTTATTTTTTTATTGCATTATTGTTTTCCTTTTTATTGGCTTTCGTTTGTGTTGTCCTTCTCAGAGAAAAACCAGCTCTTCATTCTATGGGTCGAGATAAAGGAATTCTGTTTTGTATTATATCTTTGATTGCTTTAGAATTGAATTCACTTGGATACATCACGAGTTTACATATTTTCTTTGATTTAACAATCACAAAAATAAATAAATTAAAGAAAACAATCAATTTCATAGACATCTTTCCAATTGCTATCTATTTCAATGAAATCAATCGAATTTTAGTGCTTTTTGATGTCAAGTTTGCAAAATTGTTATGCATTTTTTCTATAGCTTTGATTTTAATTCTAGGTTTTCTATCTTTATCTAATTATCTTTCGATTTTCATTGATCTCGGTATATTCGCAACATTTTTAGCAAATGTGTTAAAAAACATTCTTTATGTCAAACAAGCTGTTTATGTTATTGAATACTTCATGCTTTGTTATACATTTTCTCAAAAGTTCAAACATTTCTTGATAGTTCCTGTAAGATGAAATTGCAATTTTCTTTATTCATCTTTCCATTTTTTGTATTTTTAGATATTATCCAATCATCCTTTTATTCATCTCAATATTGGATACGATATACAATTCCAGATATCAGATCAGAACTTTTATATTCAAAATTTCCAGAATTGAAAAACCCTTACTTTTATATGCTATGGTTCAATCAATGCTTTTGGAATTTTTTGATGAACATAATTCCTTTGTGTATTTTGTACATTTTATCTGTTCGTACTGATAAAGATGAAATTTCGGAGCAAAAAAGAGAATACGAACTAGATTTAGTATTTAATAGTTAACCAGTATTTGATAGGTGACATTAAAAAGTAAAAGATCTTATGTATTCATTATGATGAAAAATTCCATTGTCTTCACTTATTTTTGTCAATGTTCCTTATGTTTAGATATATTAACACAATTAGAACAAATAACAGCCGCTGATGCTGTAGGAACAAGCCATGATTCCTCAGTTAAATGAATGATTTAAAGTTGTATTTCATGTCTGATAATTTGAAAATAAATAAACAAAATGTTGTATTATAATTTGTGGCACATGCATTTGAATTTCAATCCATTGTTGTTAATGTCTATCAATTATTTTCTCATATATACACACGTGAACCAAAGATAGTCATTATTCTTGTAATAAAGAGCTTGATACTAAACTTGTAAACATGAGTCTAGTAGGCGATAGTAAATGGTTAACTGAGGTTTGTAAGACCTTCAGCTTCACAAGATATAGATATGAAATTAACTTTTGAAATGCATTATGTATTAGTTTAAAAAAACTAGATAGTACCAATATTGTAGTATATATATGTAACAAGATATCTACAGACACCGTGCTACTAATATATATCTGTTCATTCTCAGATAAGTTTTGCGCTGTTGTCATGATTAAGTAAATAAGGACTTTTTCATGCTGTATTCACTTTGGCACCAATCATGAGTGTTACAATTCTAGGATATAGTATTTTAGTGTATTCCTTCCGAGAAATTCAAATTGTTGTGAAAATTTGAAATTGAATTTCCTTCACAATTTTGAAAAGTGTAAATCGAAAATGATTTAGATGACGATGATATGAGAAATTATTAAGAGTAAAAATAAAAGGTTGATCAAATTTTGTCAATTTTTCAAATAATGATTGCTAATGAAATTTTTTTATCAAGAATTTCTAAGCATTCACCTGGATACATTTTAGTTTCAGATTCTGCATTCATTGAATGAAAATGTTTTTCAGTTTATTTTGCAGGGGCTCTTTATTGTAAAAGCAACATTTCAAACAGATACGAAATCTGTTTTAATCAATGTAGTGCACCAAAACATTTCGATTACTTTTCTGAATGCGATAAACTCAATTTGAATTCAACATTATCATCTAATGGATCATTCAGTAACATTGGTCAATCAGTTTTTGGATTATCCGGGAAAATTAATATACTTCGAAATTTAAATTATACAGATTCCTATTCTCCGCTTGATGCTGCATTAATGACAGTTCAGAACTTATCTTGCATATCAGTATCCTATTTATATGCTTTTAATTTGACTGGTGAATCTTGTAACGTTTTTCACACCAAATGCAGCGATATAATATTTGCATACTCTCTATTTACTAACCTCAATCTTACAGATTCTCCGCTTTTTCTTATCAAATCCCAGTTATTTTTGAAGAATTGCTATTTTAACATTTCAAGTCGAATAGTCCCAAGAATTGTTGATTTTGATGTACGATTACAAGATTGCTTTATACTAGGAAATGAAACTCAATGGAGAGAATTTAATAGCAATATTGAAGCTATTTTCTGTTTATTCGTCCAAAACTTTGATTGTGTACCTATGGTATCTTTTAAGGTCGAACAATTATGGTGTTGGAATGTTGGTGCTAACTCATCCTTAGATACAAAATTTATTCTTCCAAATAAAGATGAATTAATTCCAAGAGCACATGAGAATCAATCCAATGAAGTCATCCATTGGATTTTGAAAGGTTCATTCTTATTAATTTTTGGATCATTAACATTTATATGTCTTTAATCTTTTGGAAGCTAATGCACCCTCCAAAACCTTTAAGTGCACAAAAGGCTAGTCCAGGAATGATTTTATGAGAATTTTTCGCATAAAATCTGCCATTACATTTTATTACAGTAGTTCATACTAAAATATGAACTGCTAATGCATGTAAAAATTTACATGCATTTATATTATATATGTTTTTTTGTTTGTATTTTATTTTATAAAAGATTTTATCTTTAAATTGAACTATGTTAGTGATAGTACTCTATGTAATCGTGTGCTTGTAATGAAACCCTGAAGTATAATAGATTTAATCATTTTTTATCAGAATTTCCAACTCAATTTAAAGTATCATGATGAGAACTCATGACAAATAAAGAGTGCAGACATAGTATATTTTATTTATCATATAATATATCATGATTAAAAAAAAATTGCGTTAAATTTTGAAGGGGATGTTAGAAAATTTCAGGGGAAAATTAACAATAACGGCGCCAAATGTTTGTGGACGAAGATCTTCAAAAATCAACTTTTGAACAAAGTAGTGAGAGAGGATCATCGACTCTGCATAATATTCTTCTTGAACAAAAAGAAAAACTACTCCGAAACGCTCGCAGAAAAAAAAGACAATTAAGGCAAACATGGTTTCGATTTTATTTCGTTTTAAGAAAGGAAAAGGTTGTTGAAGCACAAAGGCATTACGGCAATACAAAAAATCGCAAAATTGAAGGAATATGTGATATCGCTGGTCATTATTGCTCTAATCTTTTAGGATTAGATCAAATTATTACCAGGATTGGAACAGAATCAAAGAAGTTCATAGCTCCTCTTGTAAATTCTGAAGCAAGACAAGTAGAAACTCCAACAAATAAACAATTAGAAGATCGCACTGCAGAAATCTACTCTTACAACTTTGATTTTACTAATTGTATGAATATAATTGCACAAGATGTTAATAGAATGATTTCAAATGTCACAAATTTCGAAATAATAAATGCAGAAACAGATAACTCAACGCATCCTATTGATGATATTGCTAAAGAAGCTATAGAAAATATGAATATTATTACTGCTCCTCTAAATATAAAAAAAATCGAAAAACCATTATCAGATCTCAATCAAGACATGTTTATTTTTACAGCATTTTCAAGCTACGAGGCCATCGCAGATGGTGCAGCAACTCTTGCTGTTAGCGATATCGATTTTGCCGGTATTGGACTAGGATCTATACAAAATTCAGTTGTTCCTCGTCTTAGACCATTCTTACGCCTTGCTTTTCCAAGATGGGATAATGAAGTCGAGCTTACAATCGATAGAGGTGACACTCTTGATCCTAATTCGATAACTTCATTTTTCGATACAAAAACTGACACAACTTCGACAACATTTATTGATGGAATCTATGCCAATGAAGCTAAAGAGATGCTTGGTGAAACTCAGCCGTTAATTGACGAACTTGTTGACGAATTATTCCCAATGGTCCTTGAAGATGAGATTTACAAAGAGATTGTTCCAGAAGAGTTCTTTGGAGACATAATAGAACCACCAGCCGTATTAGTTTCTCGTGATTTGAACCAAGACATAACAGATTCTATGTCATTTATCGATGAAGAGTTACATAAGAGCTTGGTTCAGTTTTGCGGTAATAAACTTGGTGTTTCTGGCGTTGTTGACAAGATTTCTAGTTTTCAGGTCAATTATTTCGATTCAATGCTTAAAAAGAAAGTTGCAGAGTCAACATTTCATCATCTATCAGTTCTTACTCCATTCCTTAAAGGTGCTGCTGATGCAAAAAGACACAAAATGGAAGGAACAGATGCATCTTCACTTACACGTAAATGGAAAGACCAGATGATGAACAAGATCAGAGAATTCTTAGATTAGTCATCTATTATTTTTATGTTAGATTAAAAAATATTGTTTTTTATATAATATTATACATTAATGGATTGAGAAAAAGCAAATGACTCGTTGTTCTGAAGGCTTGATTTCATTCAATCATAATTTTTCATTGAAATCTTGTTTATGATTGCAAATTAATGAATACACTTTGAAAATATTTATATTCATACCAATTAGTATTCATAATTCGTCTTGATTTTTCAAAAATATTTTCAAATTTTTCTTTCGAAGTGAGTATTTATTTATATACTTAATAAATCAGCAAATAAAGTATTAGTAAATTAAATCTAACAATAGTTTTATTCGATTTATAAGTAAAATAACAATTTTTTAATAATAATTTTTTTCGAAAAGTCAAATTACAATGCAAACATAAAAAGGAAGTTCGTAATAGCCAAATTTCCAAATCTCTAATAGTTTAAATATCCTTATAAGTCATCAAATTTAAGAACTCAATTTTTAGCTGCTTTGGCCTGTTTTCTAAGATCGTCAAGACGTTTAGCTGCTTCTTTATTCTTTACAATTAGTTCATCAACTTGTGTTTTTGTATCATTGTATAATTTAGTTTGTTTGCGAAGAATTTCTGTAGATTGTTGGACTCTGGTACTAAAACTTTCTAAATTCTTTGATGCTGATTCAATCAATGTCTTAGTTTTGTCAATTTGTTGTTGTTTTGATTCAAGTGTTTGATATAATGCTTGAATACGAACAAATCTATTACTTTCTTGAACTAAATTCATTTGAAGTAACTTATCGGCTAATATTTTAATAGATTCAGAATCCATCTCATCAATTGGAACTAAATCGCTAAAATATTGAGCAATTCCATCTCCTTTGCTAAAAACCTGAACAAAGAATTCAGCTGTTTCTTTAGGATTTGGATACTTAATATTTTTGTTTGATAATACTGAATCTAAAACAGATTCTGGTAAGTTTAAAAATTCTTTCTGTTTGCATACTGTTGGAAAATTAATTGCCAGTGCATTTAATACATCATCTGATTTTATATCCCCAGATAATGCAGCATTTAAATATTCCATTTTTGCAAAAAAGTGACAAATTTTTAAAAACAAAACATGACGATAAAATATATTCAAAACTTTTTTTTTGTCAAAAAAATGTCTTCTGTTGCAAATCCTGCAACGGGCAATCCACAAGATATAGACATTGGAACAATTCGCAAGCTTATGAAACCATTAGTTGAAAGATCAGGCAAATCTTCTTCAGATTTGTGTAATGATTATGCAAACTTAACAACAGATTTAAAAAATAACGCAGACATCAACGAGAGTAACCTCTGGTCATTACTAAGTGATCTATCAAATAAAAATCCACAAATAAATGAAAGATATGTTAAAATCACAAAAAACGATCCTGAACTGGTACATTCTGTATTATTCCTCCAGTGGCTTGAAAAAGAGTATAGGAAGAACCCTGTACCAACAGAAATATCAGAAATTCCATATTATTACATTAGAACAGGACAAATTGAAAAATACTTCGAATATTTACAAAAGAATAAGCAAAACGATTGGAAAATAGCTACTCTTGCTGGATGCTTATCTCAAAAAGACTATAAAACATGGAGAATTTCAGCAAGAAACCTCGCAAATTCAAAACATATAAGTCCTGATGAGGCTGCTATCTATAGCATCCTTTCTGGTGACTTGTATGCATGCATGCAGTATGCTAAAACATACTATGACCAGCTTTGGGCAAAAATTTTCTGTATGTTAAGCGATGCCGAAGCTAAAAACCCATACGACATTAAAGAAACCATTCGTCAATTCCCAACACCATCGAATACACAAGAAAATCTTGTTTTTACAGTTTTCCGTGATGGAGTTGATTCATTACTCAAAGAACAGAATCTTCCACTTGCATTTAAGATACATACAGTCTCTGTTTTCCATAGCTGCCCATCAGATCTCATTAAACAGTTCATAGAACCAATTGTAAATAATTTTGCACTCGGAATTGCCTTTTTCTATTGTTCATTAGCAGAAACAGACGAAGCAGTCAAATTAATCTCAGATATTCTTACCGGTTTACCTTATCCTGATGAAAAAGCCCTACAAATTACAGATTATTTCAAATTACCATCTACAAAGATCGTAGATGCGGCCATTGACAACATAATTAGCTCCAGGGTCGATGATTTCGACGAAGATCTCACAGAAGAAGAGCTTATTGACCGCAAAATTGAAGCATTAGGTTGGCTCGAGATCGCGCGCTGCGAAGAAGTGGCCGAAAAGAAGGTAAGGAAACTCCTTGGTAAACTAGCTCTCGAGAAACAATACAAGGGATGCTCCAAGCTTTTGCAGACAAGAGGAAATCTTTTGACCAACCAAATAGAAAGGGATTCATGGAACGCTCTTGTTATTGCTGAACTCAAGACAACAGCGCAAAACCTTTCCGAGATACTTTTGTTCAAAGGAGGATGGATGAATCGTTGTGATATCGAAGATGAAGTTGCCAGATCTATTTTAATGCTTGTTTCTAATCAGTTGATTGATACATACATAGCTAGTGGCGAAACTGAGAGAGCAATGGCTGTTCCTGCGATGATTTGCTGTCCAACTAAAAATATGTTGAGGTGGCTCAAACCATCAGACGCAAAAGAACTCTTGCTTAAGATAAAGAATGTTGGTATTGCTCAATTTAAAGCTGCCAATACAGAATAAATATTATTTGATACTTTATTAATTTTATTGAGTTCTTTGACAATACATATGATTAATGTGTCTTGCGATTATTCATTTGGAAATTGATTATCATTAAAGCGATTTTGAGAATTCTCACCCAAATATAGTTGGAAATTATTATTGGAGCAATAGTGTGCGAAATAAAAGTTTAGTTATTTTGGTAGTTATATTGATTCTTGTTTAGAAGGTATTCAAGAGTATTCAAATCAATGCTACGACTGGACAGTTCAAAACAGTAGTTATATATGATCCGAATCTATCATTAGGTATATCCGCATTTATTTTTGAAATAGTTTTGATTGAGGTTTGATGCTATATAGGAGATGATACATGTGTCATTTCTCAAACTCTCTGCATCACTTTTATAATTCCTTAAGTCAGTTATAAAAACTTTCTTGTTGACTTACTCCAATATGCATGTTTACGTAAATAGTTATCAGCTCAAACAATCGTAACAATGCGAAAACAGTTTGTCAAAAGAAGACTGCAAAACAAACAAACAAAAAAAAAGTCATCATTAATTAGTTTATTCTCCTATTTTGTCAATGAATATTAATAGCTCTTCGGCTAAATTGTAAGCAAAATCATCAGTGCTGTCACTTCCCACGATTTCCATAAGGAGATCTTCGCAACTCTTGAGTTCGTCAATAGAAATGCGGTTAATCATTATCAATAATTTAATAAGCAACATCGAAAGTGTGCAGTATTCTGTGGATTCAAGTATCTCTGCACAAATTTCGAAAATTTTCCTGAATTGGCTCTCTTCGCTGCATTCACACAGAAACGTGTTGAATACGCACAATGATCCAACTTTGACGCGAAAACATGCATTGTCAGCGCTTAAATGATAATTTAAAAGTTCAGTTCCGAGCTGTTTCCACTGATAGCCTGCCTTCATAGCAATCACTGAACCGAAGTAGATTGTTTCATCGCTGAAATATAAATTATCTTTGATATATTCTTTGATATCTTCAGAATATTTTTCAAAACATATTTGGCTAATAAATCTGAATATTGATGCTATTAAATTCTCGTATTTGATTGTTTTGATCTTGTAAAAGTTCTGAAAAATCAATGTTTCTATCCAATTCATGGAATAATTTGATTGATAGAGTAATTCTGTTAAACATATAAATGTATTAATAATAGCTGGTTATGAATTAGAATTTAACATAAATTGTATGTAATCAATGTATTCTTCATTGATAAATTTAATTGATCTAGCAAAAATATAAGCTTGATCTTCAATTGTGATGTATTGCTGATTTGTTATTGTCTTTTCTAATATCCTATTATCATTTTCTGCAATTTTTGAAATTTCTTCAAATAAATCGGAAGATTCTCCATTAAGATTCAACAGAACCGTATCAATCTGCACTTCGTCAAGTACAAAATCGATTTTCCCATATTTGTCTGTATGATCATATAGGTTAGCAAGTATTTCATTGGAAACATTTCTATTTTGGATTTCATGCTCTGCATTAGCCTGATTTTGATGAATAGAATAATAATAAGGTATACATATGGAAAACTGGCTCATTCGAAATGACAGAAAATTTTGTTAATGTTTAGTTTGTAAATTTCACTTTTTCAATTGATTTTGATTGTTCTCTGAAGATAAAAAAAATTATTTTCCTTTGATATATTATAAGCTTCTCTGCTAGCAAATATACATAATCTTCGATTAAATTGCTACATTCTAATCTTCAAAAATTTAATGGAAGCTCAAAAAGTGTAAATGTAATTACAACATGTTTTTTAAAGAAAAATTAATGTTTTATACATCTGTATTGATTTGAAATTACAATGGTTTAAGTATTTTTAATCTTAATTTATTTATTTTTGAACTATTTAATTCAATTAATGTCTACCCAATTGACTTTGGCCGATCCCCAACTCCATGATGAAGCATCAAATAGTTCTAAACCTGCAGCCGATTTAAATCAAGATACGAATAACCAAATTCAAAAAATGAATACTGATGTTCATTCAATTAATGAACGGCTTCAAATTATGAATAAGAACTTTAATAAAAGGTTTGACACTATGGACGAAAACCTCAAAAATTGCGCAAAACAATGAACAAAAAATTTGAGGAAGTTAAAAAATCTATATCCCAACTTCAAGAAACTACCACGACAGGATTTAATGAAATTTCAAATCACATCCAATTTTCAACCAAACAAGATCAAACAAACTCAACTCATCAAAACTTTCAAACAAAAGTTGAGAACATTCAAACAAAAATTGATGATACTCAAGAAGAAATTAAGACCCTTAAGGAAAATCAGGAAATATATATCGAAAAATTCAAAAGGCTTGAAAACGCGTTAGCCTCTTGGAATAGATTTGACAAATTAGTTAACCATAGAACAGATTTAATATCTCCTTCAGAATCAAACCACTGACCACCAACAGAACTTCAATATAATACTGATAGAAAAGCAAGGAATAACAAATTCCTAAATAAGATTTAAATTAAAACATTTTTTATTTTGACAATATTTTTTTATTAGACATGGAAATCAAGGTACCATGGCTGGTTGATAAACCAAAATCAACTAATCTTGAATCTTTCACCTGGGATCTGATGACCTTGGCAATCCCAGTGAAGTATTATATGTTCTTTGTTGAACAAATTGTCCTCCTTCAACAGAGCTAGCACCTCAATATGTGATTACATTTAGTGGGCGTATAATAACAATTTTTCTCTATTTATTTTGAATTACATAACTCTACGATTTGGAAAATCAAAATTATTATGGTTATCAAAATTTTCAGGAATTGTGGGCTTTGGTATCATAGATGAACTAATCAAAAGGATAATAAAACGAGAGAAATCTTCTTTTCTACATAAAAAAACTTCTGGAATTTCTTGAATTATTAGCAAAATTCGGTTGTGTATAAGTAGATATTCCGAATTACATTTTATTTTGAAGCCAGATATCTACGAACAAGTTTTGATAACCAAAATATATAATATTGAATGTGCATATTAGTTGGGAATATATTCAAATCGAGATGATTGAAAGTCGATTGTAATGAATATCTTTGCAATAGAATTATTATAATAAATATGGAAAGATAGGAAATTCTCATCAAGATATAATGAACTAAAAATGTAACACTTAAAAATTCGCTTATTCCTGCTTAAATATTGGAACCCTGATAGATTTGGGTATCACCATCCATTTGACATTCAACCATCAAATTTTTCAGTGATGATATCTGTAACTTAATGGGTCACTTACACTCATCTGACTTTAATTCAAAATTCTGGCAAATGGCAGGAAATATCATGGAAAATTAACCTAAAACAGCATTATTGAAAGCCGTGTCATATGGGCTTAAGGGCAGCTTTAAGAAAATAATTCAGTTGCCAATGCTTCGGTAAATTTGGAAAGATAACATAATTCGATTAATGCATCTGTTACATCACGATTTTCAATGTATATTGCACCAAATTCATGGGGATCTTTAAAATTACAATAAGAACAGTAAGAACTGTCAAGTATAAAATCTATTTACCCCTTGCCAATTTGATCATATAGATGCGCAAGTATTTTGTTGGAAACATTTCTATTTTGGATTTTGATGAATGGAATAATTATACATACTCATATTAAAATTATAAGATGTATATATGGAAAATTGGCTAATATGACATATGTAAATTTCAATTTTTTAAATTGGTTTTGATTGTCCTCTGGATATAAAAAAAATTGTTTTCCTTTGATATATTATAAGCTTCTCTGCCGACAAATATACTAAATAGTCGCTCAAAATTCTAACTTCTAGGTATCAAAAATTTGATTGGAATTCAAAAAGTGTAAATGTAATATCAGTGTGTTTTTTTAAGAAAGATTAATGCTTTATACATGTATTGACCGATAAATCGAAATACTATGTTTGCTCCAGATCGTACAGGGAAGATTCAGCCGAAAAGGAGAGTACAAGTATCATCAAATAGCGCCTTTAAAGGTTGGATTTTCCATGATCCAAAATAAAATTGTACCGACCTTTGATATTTATGCTTTTGCAATTGCATAATAAGAAATTATTGGTTGTTGAGAAAGGAAACTGCTTACAGTGCACTCTAAAAATTGCTAGCTAATTTGATTTGTTCTTTTTTATATTGTGAAACTTAAGTTTCCTTCTCAAGAAAATAATTCAGTTGCAGAAGCTTCGGTTATTTTAGAAAGAAAACATAATTCGATTGAGATTTCATTGGGATTTAATAAGCAATTTTCTCGATAAAAATATATGAATTGATTAAAATCATATTTATCTGTAGAGTTTGTATATGAAACAATTATACTCCCAGACTTTGAATATGAATCAAAATATGAATTTGTAATAGTAAAGGTATCACTTCCAATCCAATTTCCAAACATATAGTCTGCTGTGTTATTTCTGAAAATGCAGTGATCAATAGTTGTAGGGCCACTATTAACTATAACAAAATTTCTCTCATTTGTTCCGCAGTTATTTTCAATAACATTACAATATGATAATGTTCTTGTAGAATTGCTGGAAAAACTAGCAAATGAAAGGGAAGCCCCTTTATATTGGCTGTTTTCTCTGAATGTTGAATATTTACAGATCCCTGAACTTCCTGAAAGGCCACTAGATACTGATGCCTTTTCATTGTTTTTGTTATTTGTGATATTGTTATTATTAAAGCGTTGTTCGCCATGGCAAATTTCTAATGTTTTATCTCGAGCTAATATACTATCTGTGCATTTAAAACATGAGACTTCAAATACGAAGTTTTTATTGGAAGAAGAAGATTTGACATTAGAAGAAAATGCCATGGCACTGTTTTTTGACATTGATCCATAATAACAATCTCGTTGTTGAACAAAGTGTCCTTCTCCTTTGCAATTATAACAAACAGATCCACCTTCATCTGTGGAACTACAATTCTTAAATGTGCATTCTGCTAATAATGTGCAAATATTGTTTTGGCTTTTAATGTATATTGCTCCAGTCTTATGACATTCTTTAAAATTGCAAATAGAAACATAATAATTGCGATTAGATTTAGCATCATATAGTGCTATTCTATTTTTTGTCTTGTTATATTTAATTTGATTATCAAAGAATTCAGACCAATCAAATTTTCTTTCTATTTTCAAGCATCAATTTCATTTAGGCATCGTTAATGTATCAATATATCTAAATTGTTGATAAATTTTTTTTCTCTTGTGTTTAGACAATATTTTTGAAACTTTAAAAGCTAATGATCATATTGCTTCAAAAATTAAGGTTGCCAAAAGTGTTCATCAGAAACATGATAAATATCATGAAGAGTAGATTTATTATTAATGTGAGATTGTGTTTTAAAAAGTAATGGATCAAACATTTTTCACTTGATGCACAATCAAGAGGAGTTGATCCATTACTATCATCGAATGTTTTTTGGTTCTTTAATTTCCCTTTAAATCAGCACTAAATCAAGTTCCAACTCTAAGTTTAAGCGAAATATTTACAAGTAAAATAATTTTTAGTACTTCGCTGTTTGGCTGGCTGCCATCTATGAAAGCTGAGGGTGGTCTATCATCTGTAGGGCCCCTTAAAGAAATGGATGAATACAACAGTGTGAATGAATGAATAAGATTTTACATTTGATGTTGGTGAAGTTGTTTTATGTAAAACGGACATGCCCAGAATCAACTTTGAATTGCATTACTTCCTGTTGTTTCATTTTGGCCGAAATTAAAGACTGTCGATTGCGGGTCGTTTCTCCAAGAAGAAGAGGGTCTCACAGATTGATAAAATGTCATATTGCTTCTTTTGCTATTGAAACATAATAACAAGCTCATTGTTGCTATTGAAACATAATAACAATTAATATGTTATTAACTTTTTGAAACTTGGAAAAGTGAATTATGATGTCCTTCATGAGAAATTCAGCTGAGTCCTATTGGACATCAAAGTCTAGATGGAAACTTTTTTTTCGAAATGGGAACTTCATTTTTCCTAAAATCGATTTCATTGAATATAAGGGTTTCGTTTTGCTAAAATTGTCACTTTTATAGCTAATTAATTTTTGGTTGTTTTGCGAAACCTAAAAAAAAATTCGATAGTCATGCTTATAGAACCCTCTTGCTATTGTGTCAAAATTGCGAAACCGATAGCAAAAATATCTCGCAATATCAAAAATGAGACATTTGATGAATTATGCATTATACAGATTGAAAATATGATTTTTGAAAACATATCATCATTTTATAGCTAAATCGAAAGTAATTAATATCATATTAGATTAAAATGAAAAAGGAATAGTATCGTTATGCTTTAAGTGGCAGTTTTATAATATAATCATAATTTTAGCTCAATATACAACACCTTTTCGCAATATATGGTTAGCAACCTAAATTCTGATTGTTTTGAATTCAGATATCTTACGTTTTCTATAATTACATCGCTATTCATCACCATTTCTATCTTTATCATTATTGTTTGTATCTAATAATTTCTCAAAAAACATTAATACTTAATATTTGTAAATATCATACTTTATAACGTAAATAAGAACATTACCTATTATGAAAAACAATAATTAAAGAAAAATATGGTAAGCTTTTATAAATGTAATTTTTAATATCTTATATTCAGAACATATAACTAGTAAATAAAGTACTTATTTTATACATACAACGTAGGGCATAACACATCAAATGCTCAAATCTATTTTATTTTTATATAATATATCAATCAAAGCAAATTTACATTGTTTTGTTAGATATACTTTATTCGCATCGAAATTGGCGCGTTTCTTTACAAAAGAGCTATTTTTTCGTGATAAATAAAATTTTTTATTCAAAAATAACAAAAATAACAATATAAAATAACTTCATACTGAACCAGGTCTAATGTAATTGTACCGGAATCTATCTTTCACTAAAAGAGGATCTAATTTCAAAATCATTATTGCATTACAAAGCCGATCGCCTGTTCTTGCCCTAAGTCCTGTTAAAAGATCTCTTAAGTCCTTGAAATCTCTTTCACACATTGCTTCTGAAGCTGATATTGATGCGTATTTTTTGATCAAACTTGATAAAAGGGTAACATCGATCTCATCTGTTCCAATAGAAAGAGAAACCCCTTCCATGTAGTCCCAAAGCATTTTAATATCGTAAATTGGATGATTTGGATTGAATTGTCCAGTTAGCCATTTGTCGACAATATAATTAATTTGTTGCCTTTCTTCTTGTGTTTTATTATTGAATACTGCAATGTCTTCAATAAATAGATAAATTGATAATAATGAAATTTATCAATTTATTGAAGACATTGCAGTATTCAATAATAAAACACAAGAAGAAAGGCAACAAATTAATTATATTGTCGACAAATGGCTAACTGGACAATTCAATCCAAATCATCCAATTTACGATATTAAAATGCTTTGGGACTACATGGAAGGGGTTTCTCTTTCTATTGGAACAGATGAGATCGATGTTACCCTTTTATCAAGTTTGATCAAAAAATACGCATCAATATCAGCTTCAGAAGCAATGTGTGAAAGAGATTTCAAGGACTTAAGAGATCTTTTAACAGGACTTAGGGCAAGAACAGGCGATCGGCTTTGTAATGCAATAATGATTTTGAAATTAGATCCTCTTTTAGTGAAAGATAGATTCCGGTACAATTACATTAGACCTGGTTCAGTATGAAGTTATTTTATATTGTTATTTTTGTTATTTTTGAATAAAAAATTTTATTTATCACGAAAAAATAGCTCTTTTGTAAAGAAACGCGCCAATTTCGATGCGAATAAAGTATATCTAACAAAACAATGTAAATTTGCTTTGATTGATATATTATATAAAAATAAAATAGATTTGAGCATTTGATGTGTTATGCCCTACGTTGTATGTATAAAATAAGTACTTTATTTACTAGTTATATGTTCTGAATATAAGATATTAAAAATTACATTTATAAAAGCTTACCATATTTTTCTTTAATTATTGTTTTTCATAATAGGTAATGTTCTTATTTACGTTATAAAGTATGATATTTACAAATATTAAGTATTAATGTTTTTTGAGAAATTATTAGATACAAACAATAATGATAAAGATAGAAATGGTGATGAATAGCGATGTAATTATAGAAAACGTAAGATATCTGAATTCAAAACAATCAGAATTTAGGTTGCTAACCATATATTGTGAAAAGGTGTTGTATATTGAGCTAAAATTATGATTATATTATAAAACTGCCACTTAAAGCATAACGATACTATTCCTTTTTCATTTTAATCTAATATGATATTAATTACTTTCGATTTAGCTATAAAATGATGATATGTTTTCAAAAATCATATTTTCAATCTGTATAATGCATAATTCATCAAATGTCTCATTTTTGATATTGCGAGATATTTTTGCTATCGGTTTCGCAATTTTGACACAATAGCAAGAGGGTTTTATAAGCATTATTATCAGAGTAGAATATGAATATCATATCAGAAAATGTCGCAAATCTGCCATTTACCCGGCCAAATAGCAAAAATAATTGAATACTTTTAGCAAAAACTTTAAAAATCAATAAAAATATGAAATATAGATCTTAAAGAGACCCTATATACGATATTCATAAAGATTTTCCAAAAATATCACATCGCAATATCAAAAAAGTGACGTCCTCAGTGGAGTCAAGGGTCGAAATTGCTAGCTAAATGTTTTTTTGGCGAAATTGCGTATTGTACGTTTTTTTCGCAAAACGAAACCCTTATTGAATATGATAATGATATTTGCAAGAAGGTGAATAACATGTTTTAATAATATTCAATATTTATTTTTTGAGGAACTATCAACAATATTTTTTTAGTAGATGCCGCCTCGAAAAAACCTTCTGAACAGCCAACAGAAGACGAAAATTCAGGCACATTCACAATTATGGGCTGAGAGATATGCTCCTACAACTATTGACGAACTTCCTTTTTACGAAGTTAAAAAGAAACCACGAGAATTACGAGATTTATTCGCAATTGTTTTCAATCAGCAAAATGCATACAAAAGAATAATTGTGATACAAGGCCCATATGGAAGCGGTAAAACTACATTAGTTAAAACGATTTGCAAAATAGACAGCATTAAGATTTTAGAATTTTCACCAGACAATGAGATCGTAAGCGATTCACAGATGTTTGAATTCGACAGTTTCGAAGATGAAAGGAAGCATTACCGATCAAATTTCATTCCAACTCTTTCCTCTTTCTTATCACGCGCCCAATTATCGTGTGTGCAAAATTTTGACAAGAGACATATTCTACTTCTAGATAATATTCTTATTCCTGATGGCTGCGAAAATAATTTTTTTGAATTACTACGATTATACAACATTTCACCTGAATTCCGATATCCAATCATCTGGATTATCGATCCCACACAAAATAAATTCGTAGATGATAACAGAATCTCAGGAATTTTCAGGTTACAAATCAAAGCTACACCTCCTACAGTTATGAAGCGAGTTTTGAAGCGTGTTGGTCCTCAAGAAGGTATACGTGTTACAAATGAGCTCATGGAAGCTCTTATGGCCGATAACATCGGAGATATTCGGTTATTAATGAATCATTTTCAATTTACAAGACAGTTTTCATCAGGATCATATGATTCATTGACATTCTTTCAAGCCATTGGTGAGATTCTTTACCAAAAAAAGAAAAGATCTCCAGAAAATATAATAAAAGTCAGTAGAACTGATCCGAAACGCCTATTTAATACATTGTTCGAGAATGCTGTTGACTTTTACACCGACATCGGCGATTACGCGGACACCGTTGACTATTTTTCAATATCTGATACGATGATAACGTTTGGATGGAACGAAGATGATGATTTCATAGCTAATTCAGTTGCATTATCCATGAGAGCCATTGTTGAGCTCAACCAACACCCTCCACCAGTGACTTTTCACGCATTAAAGCAAGGATTTAAATCTTCTCTTAAAATGAGATATACAGACCCCCAGGAACCGTTCTTATGCTGGCCAAAGGAATGGATGGGAAAGAAAGTCGATGACATGGAACGAATCGTTTACGGAGATGGCGAAATTCCAGTGAAATACATCCCAGAAACGAATAAATTAGTTGTCACACCAAAAGAGAAAGAGGAAGAGAGGTTGTTTATGGAAGAAGATCCGATAGAAGAAGTAACTTTCTCTGATGACGATAATTACCAATATCAGAATGGAAATTTCCTTTCTGACTAATGTTTTGTATAGAGTAATATTATTTTTATTATGATAAATCTGTTTGTTTACTTTTATAGAGAAATAATTTTAATTTTTTATTCAATTTCATATAACATTCCTAATTGACCTTCATAAATAATCAAAACTACTCAAAAGGTTAATAAGATTTTTATTTTGGATGATAATTGATGATTTTGTTATTCCAATTTTTCGATAAGATTGTTATCAAATCAATATTTAAAATAAAATCTTCTTTCTATTGAAAATGACATAAGCTATGGAGACTTTTATAATGATAATGGGTTTAAATTTTTTCATATATCTTCATGCAATCGAAATAGCATCTTATAACTAGATACTTATAACTATGACATATGATTTTAAAGGAATCTTGCATGAATGTTAGAGATCTAATTTTATTTCCCTAATTTACTGAATAAAAGTCGCCAATTTTATATTATTTTGCAATGATGTGACATGAGTATTATTTATACGAAGAGAAGTGAGATATAGTGTAAAGAGATTTGTCAACAGTTATGATAAACAATTGAGAAAAAAAAATTGAGAGAAAACGGCCATCGTTGCATTTCACTGCAATGTCATCTCTTCAGCTACAGCCCATAGAAAACACGAGTGAGGAATATGGTATTTCAGAATACCTTCTCCAGCTCCAATTAGATGCACCACATCTCAGAATTTCTGAGTGTTACGATATCGGAAATAAAAATGTCAGAGAAAATTTCATTAACTATGTCAACGGCCTTCAGCCACAAAATATTGTTGATGTTTTCGTTCCAGTTACATCTCTCCAGCAACCAGTTTCTGATATAATTTCACATGGAATCCGTGTTTCACCAAAGAACGGTTTCCGCTTCCAGACAGGCAAGCTCCAACTCGAAGCAGGCAAAGAAACATATGAAGTTGTCCACATTACAGTTGCTTTAGGCAATGTTTACAACAATCAAAAGACAGGCGTTGAACTTAGTGACGAAACATTCTCAGATGTCGCACCAACACCATCCGCCGTACCAGAAGGCTACAATACAATTCGTGTTTCCGAAAACAATGAATTTGTCGTCTTTAATACAACTCAAATCAACTCTCTCCGCCTTATCCGCTTTGCCGGTGGCGATAACCTATCCCATGAGCCACGCCTGAAGCAGATTTGCAGCATCTGCGGCAAAGATAACGCTACTCTTTGGTGCGAGAACGATCAGTGCAAGCTCTGTGAGAAATGTGACAAAGAGGCACATTCACAGAAGCTTACACAGAACCATACACGCAAGCCAGTCTCTGAATCTCTTATTGGACAGCAAAAATGTCCAGTTCACCCTGATGTAAACGTCGCATACTACTGCTTGAAGTGCCACTGCCCAGTCTGCCTTGAGTGCAAAGTCAAAGGAAGCCACTCAAAGGGAGAACAGGCAAAACACAGATTAATCGACCTTCCTAAGGCATACGAGGACGCTCAGGCCACGCTTTCTAAGCCAAATACTGTATTCATTACCCGCGAGAAAACACTTAACCAGCACCTCAAACTCGCAAAAGACAAACTTTCGGAAATCGAAGAAACAGAGAAGCAGATCGAGGCAGAAATCACTCGTATCGCAGCCAAGGCCATCGAAGAATCACGTATGCAGAGCGGCCTTCGCGCACAAGCTGTGAAATCAATAAAACTCGAAATCGAACGTAAAATCTCCGAACTCCAATCACAAAAGAAACTCATCGACGCTCATCACAACAACAGCGAACCACTCGAAGTTGTCCAAGCATGCTACCTTAACTCAGTTCTCGAGAAAGAGATTATTAATAACACAGATCTTCCTTCTTTAGCATCCAACATCGACGCACAATTACAAGTCTACGGAAGGCTCGAAGTCAACCCTCCACGCTCTTCCGGAAAGGTCACATCTCGCGGATTACCTCAACCAGGCGCTTCTGGCAACGGCGATGGCCTTTCGGACAGTTCCGCCTTCTCAGACGGCATTGAGACAGAGGAAACTGACTTGGAAGAGCCAGATCCCCACATTACTCATCTCAGTCGCATGGCCAAACGTAAATTTGAGCGTCGCGGATCGAAGCAACTTCCATTTGTACCTTTCGACGGCTCCAGCATCATCACCGATCCAGAAATGGCGAGAAATCTCTACATGACGTTCCCATTCAAAGGAGAACCAATCACACACAGGATGTACTACTCAGAAGAGGACGGCAGGAACGTTTCCAAGATCCACAAGATCGTTGACGGCCACGGTATCACTTGTGTCCTTGTAAAAGTCGGACAGAACTTGTTTGGCGGATTTGCAGCATCTAAATGGAACAGCGATGGAAAACCATTTGGAAAGGGATCATCGTCATTCTTGTTCCAGCTGACAAAGGACGCATTCATTCCTAACAGGGGACAGACAGAGGAGCCAATCTGTTTGTTCGCAACAACTGATACTTTGACATTCGGAAAATACGATTTAGCTTTAGTTGGAAATCTCGAAAAATGCACTTCTACAATTGAGAATTCTTACGGAGTTGGATTCGCTTTCGACTCTCAGAAGGCAAAGACATTCCTCGCTGGTTCTCAGGAATTCAGACCTGATGTTGTTGAAGTCTGGGGTTTCTACTCTAGTCAGTAACTTTTTTTTATTATTTTATATACTATCTTCTTTTTCTTTTTTTCTTATATTTTTTTAAAGTTTATTTTTTTTTTGATTTACACACATATATGTTAAAGACTTTGTTTAGAGATTTTGATGAAGACTAAATTAACGTGTCTTTATTAACAATTGATATCAATAGTTAAGGCTGCACTTACGCCCATTTGACTTTAATTCAAATTTTTGACAACTGGCGTGAAGCGTCATTGAAAATTAACCATAAATATTTGAATTGAAGGCCATGTCATAGGGACGTAAGTGCACCCTTAAATAAAATATTTCTATAAATAACCTTAAAATTGCTTTTCTAAGGATGATCTGATCAGATCATTTTTTTTTAATTTGGTTCTGATCAAGCATATTTATAATATGGAATACCACAGATGAGTTTATGATTTTTAAAATCACAACTCTAATACCCAATGAATTCCATTGATCAAAATGTCTTTCAATATTAATAGTTTAACAAATGGTCATTGCGAAAGTTTTATTTTATAGTACCGAATGAATTTCATTGATCAAAATGTCTCAATTTGATATTAATTTGATTTTCAATGAATTCTAATTAATTTTGTTTTAAAATGTTAATAGTTTAACAAACAACATATATTATCAGTTTGATCTTGTATTTTCAATGCTTGTATATATGGCCTTTGCATAAGTAATGAATGCTTTTTTATTAATTCTCATTTTCACAAATAATGCTAAATCATGGTGTCATTAAGCGCATTATTAATGATTGTCCTTCGGAACTGATAATACCTAAATCAGTTACTTCATTATATGAAAGTAATTGGAAGAATTATGCATCATCTGGATGTAGAGAGTCAATAACTTCTCTTAATTTTGAAGAAAATAGCCGAATTTCAAGCATCAGTAAAAGATGTTTTCAAAACTCAAAACCCCAATCAATAAATTTAAGTAAATGTGAATATTTAAAATTGCTTGATATGTATGTATTTTCTTATTGCAAATCTTTGGCTTTAATTATTCTTCCTCCAAATATTTCAAGCATAGGAACTAATTGTTTTTATGAAAATACTAATTTGACATCAATCGATTTACCTGATTCTGTTGTTTATATTCATTCTGGTGCATTCGATAGAAGTGGTTTAATAATAATCAATATTTCTCCAAATTCTAAATTAACAGAGATAAATAATTTTTGCTTTAGATTCAGTAACCTTTCTTCATTTTATATTCCAAAATATCTCCAAAGAATTGGTATTGCAATATTTTATGATTGCCCATTAAAGAATATAACAATTGACCCAAATAATGCATTTTATAAAAGCGATTCTATTTCCATTTTTTCTGGAAAAGATAATTCAACTCTATTTAATGTTATACCGAGCTTCCCAGGAAAATATATTGTTCCTATTTATGTTATAGCTATTTCTATTGGATGCTTCATGAATTGTATCAATATTACATCTATTGAATTCCATAATAATATTATTTCTATTGATGATGTAGCATTTTCTGAATGCATTTCATTAACATATATTTCAATCCCTGAAAAAGTCAGTTCAATACATTTCATGACTTTTGAAAGATGTACATCATTAAAAAGTATCTATCTTCCTAAATATTTGACAGTGATAGATTCTGATGCTTTCGCACAATGCACATCATTAACAAATATTACAATTCCAGAAAATGTGAAAATGATCGGATCTTATGCATTTTATGGCTGTAATAATCTAATAAATATTACATTTCTCAGCAATATCAATACTATAATACTTCGGGACAAAATTTTTCAAGATATTACAAATCCTGTTAACATTTATATACCTGGAAATTTTGATATATCTACTCAACAAACAAATGCATTTCCACCTGGAAGCCATTTATATTTTACGTGCAATACGATTTTATCTAATTCATGCAAGAATTTTTTTGGTCAACATTCTGTAATTGCACATCCAGATGAAACAATGCAAGTTGGCAATCAAGCAACAATTGATATTATAAATTACATCGCTATTGAAAAAATCTATTTAACTTACGTAGTATATCAAACCATAAAAAATGATATTTATTATCAACCGAAATGCCATTATTTAGTTATTTTAATCCCAAAATTTAATACTCACTCTATATCTTGAATGCACTCCTTATTTGTTCCCTTGAATTTATGGCATTTCTTTTGAATATTCCAAAATCAAATCAATAAAGGACCATTAATTAATTACAATAAAATTTTATTGTATTAATCTGAAATTTATGAAACACACATTCGTTTCCAGTATATATATTGTAAATCGTGTAGTGATATTCCGAATAATTTGAAAATATTATTTATTATGATTCATATTTCATTCCGATTTCCTTCGAATATGAATTCTAGTAATTATGAATATAACTATTATTATAATATAGTTAAAATTTTATGAACTTCGTGTCCAAATCATGGAGATATTGATAATTTTTAAAGTTTATTTTTTGAGTCACACATAAGTTAATGATGAATATTACAGAACATGTCTTCTTTAACGATTGATCAGGAAAATAACTCCACTGAAGTTATATTTATATCCTGAGTAATTATGCAAATTAGATATATGAATTCTTATGGGTGCATACTTCTATGAGATATTTTCTACAACTCTTTTTATATGGTGAGATAGAAGTGCTTAAACTATCTCATAAATTGAGAGATATTTCAAAATTGAGATGGTATTCGTTATTGAGCCAAATGACTGTCAATGATGAAATACATTGTTATAACCAAAGCTCTCAAAGAATTTGAATTCAAATCAAATGTAAATGAATTTGATGATCAGAATTCTATTACAAAACCGTTATTTTTGAGAGAGCAAAGAATTTAATTTGCTGAAATTTCAAGCGCAATTTGATTGAAATAGAATTCTAACCATTCTTCCAAAAATTGAGTATCGTAAAATGATTTGAATATTATTTTTTATTTTTATATTTTGCGGGTATTACGACATTTCCAGCTCAACATAATAAAGAAGATACTGTTAAATTGTTTTTATACTTTGGACAATGTCTTCCCGAGTCTCTTTTTCCGCATCAATTTTCAATCAGCATATTAAATTAATATTATTCATGAAATCAAGGCAAATGCATTTAAAAATAAATGCTAAAATACAAACTTGCAAATGTAAGTAAACTAGGTGCCCAAATAAATGTTACAATCGATGTTGATCGATATATATTCGATTATCCATGTAGTAGTAGCTCTGATTGTACAGATTATGAAGTTACATTTCCACCTGGTCTTTACAAATTCGAACTGTATGGTTCATCAGGTGGCAGCAAAAATGGTATCACATCATATCGATTTCCAAATGGCAACTGTATTTCAGCAGATATCGTTAATCAATTTCACGGAAATACACAATGTCGAAGTGAATCGAGTGTTGGTGGTTCAGGAGGTTACATTTCAGGTATTATCCTTTTAAGGAAATCTACGCCCTCGTATGTAACCATTGGGGGCAAAGGAAGTATTAATAAAGATGCTACATGTGCAAATGAAATAAGTTGTTTCGAAAGAAGTCTTTATTCTCAGGGAGGATATGGTGGAGGCGGCAGTACGCCATCACATCCTACCGCTGGTTCTGGAGGTGGCCAAACTGCTGTGAAGTTCATAGAAAATGATTTGTGGCATCGAGTAATTGTCGCTGGTTCTGGAGGCGGTGCTGATAACAATTATGGAGATTTTAGGGGCTATGATGATGGCTCAGGAGGTTCAGGAGGCGGCTTGATTGCACAAGGATGGTTTGAGAATGGTGTTTATAAGAATGATTATTTAGCAAATTCTACTTTTGGATTTAGTTTTGGATATGGAGAAGCTGCTCAGTTATTTGGCTCAAAGAATGACAATGGTGTTCATAAGTACTCACTATTTAGTGACAAATCAGGCTCCGGAAGTGGATGGTTTGAAGGTTTTGCAAGTCATGATCCAGACTCTGGCTCTGGAGGAGGTTCTTCATGGGCTTTATCTAAAGATGCATTCATTCCTCCAGGAAAAATTAACGCAACAGACGATTTTTTCACCTCTATTGGGAGTCGAGAATATGAATTTTCAAAAGCCGATTTTTTATTTACTAATGTTATTCATCAAGCTGGCATATGGGAAGGTAACGGTCGAGTAATAATCACAGTCCTTCAATATGAAAAATGTCCAACAATTAATTACTTATTTAATCTTAATTTGTTGCATGCTAAGATCAGTCATAATGTAAACCTCTCAATTTTATTGTCGTGGGAAGTATCTCAATTCCTTCAAAAAAATTGAAAAACTATTTAATTTTAAAAATATAATACTGTTAATTAGTTAATTAATTGGAGATATTTTTAAAAAATCACTTTTGATAATACTTTTGAGAACTTTAATTAAAAAAATATATTCAAAAATATCCAGGATATCAAGAGGGAATTGTTCCTTATGAGGTATATAGTTATGATGTATACCTCATAAGGAACAATTCCCTCCTTAAAATCGTAGACATTTTTATACTTATTAATCAACCATTCAAAATCATATTCCTCTGAAAAGTTATTTTATTAAAAATTTAGAATTTTAATAAATATAGAGTTTGAATTTCATACAATACCTAGATATTTTCAATAATGGGATTTGAAAACCATTCTCAAAAGTTCTCAGAAAACCTTTTTTCATTAATTTTAAGAAATCTGAGTATTAAATTAAGTGATAAATTCGTTTGACACTACTTTAATTTTTAAATTCAAAAAATTATATGTGCTTCTTAAAATGACTCAAAAAATTTTATTATAAAATAATATATAATATTAAAAATCCCACAACATTTTTACTTTACATAATCGTACTTTCTCGACGATTAATTTACACTCAATTTCTATCGTTGACCGAACTTAGCATGCAACAAATTTCCTTTTGCCCACATATATATTTTCACTTTCGAAATAAACATTTAATTTTTTTTTGTTTGTTTGTTTGTTTAATGTATGCACTATATAGAACCAATTATAATGATTTTGTTTGTATTGGTCAGTAATTAGAAGTTTTTTGTTGAATAAAACAAACAAACAAAAAAAAAACTTCTATTACAGCTTTTGATTATAATAGTTTTTATGCATTTTTAATGGATTTGACTTTTAATAATGGTCAACTCCCAAATTTTTCAAATACGCAAAAAATGTTCAATTTCAATTTTAAATAATTGTTTTACGCATTTTTTGCACCCTATGTAAAAACCTTAAAGAAGAAATTCTGCCATTTCGTTTCTAAAAATATTGTTGCAGGATGAAGAGCGGTATCCTCAAATTTATCTTTTTCATTGATATTTGCACCATGTGAAAGAAGAAATTTTGCCATTTCTTTTCTATCATAATCTACTGCGATATGGAGGGTGGTTCTTCCATAATTATCTTTTTCGTCGATATTTGCGCCATGTAAAAGAAGAAGTTTTGCAATTTCTTTATTATTCCATTTTGAAGCGTAATGGAGAGCGGTTTTTCCATAATAATCTTTTTCATTGATATTTGCACCATGTGAAAGAAGAAATTCTGCCATTTCTTTTCTATTATATTCTGCTGCTATATGGAGGGTGGTTCTTCCATAATTATCTTTTTCATCGATATATGCGCCATGTGAAAGAAGAAATTCAACTATTTCTTTATTATTCCATTTTGTAGCATAATGGAGTGGAGTCATTTTCTTCTTATCGATACAATTGACTCTAAATTTGTTAGATGAGGCAAGTAATAATCTGCAAACATCTGAATTTTGCGATTTACAGGAAAAATGTAGAAGATTCCTTTTACGATAATCGGTTACATCAGGAAATTCATTGTTTCTGATAATATCTATTGTTTGTGGAAATGCAGCGCACCATGGAAAAATAGAGCTTTTATCCTTCTCGAAAAGCAAAAATACGGCATTTAAGTTTTGATATTTGATAATATATTTATAACCATTGGATGTTTTGATACTTTGAATCCATTCTTTAACAACGAAATATTTATTTTCAAGGATATATTCAAGCATTTCATTATTATGTGAACTTACAATGTCCCTGAGACAATCAATATTTATTTCACAGTCTTTCAAACATTCGTTAATAATATCTGTATTTCGGCCAATTATTGAGTAGCGTAGACAATTCTGTGTTTTTTAGCATATTTGATTTGAAAGTAAGAAATGGAAAATGTTAACAGATCCAAAATAGGCACACGCTTCAATCAATGATAAATCTATAGAATAACAATCAAATTGTCTTGATATATCAGGAATTTCAAGAAAACATAGTTCCAACTCTATTCTTTTTTGAGTAATATATTCCTTGAATTTATCAATTTGATCATGCATAACTATAAATTCAATTGAATCCTCCATTGGGAATTTTGATTCCGAAATTTTATAAAAGTTAGCACCAATATGTTTGAGTATTCTGATGTAATTCTCTCTAGAATAATAATTGTATTGAAATGCCATGAGAATAATCTTTTCAAGTTGCTTGATTGAATGTTGATACTTCGTAATCAAAATGTTTGTAATAATATTGCACATACCTTCAATTGATTTGTTATATTTGATTTGGAAAAGCTTCTCGAATGCCTCAATAAAGTCAGCATATTGTTTTGAATAGTCTTTGCCAAGTGGACTTTGGATCATTTGACTGCACTTGACAAAAATTGTTTAATAATTTTTTCTAGAGGTACTAAAGATTATAGTTCCATGGCCATTCTGCAATGGAAATCATGTTACAAATGCCAGTTCCATCTTCTTTTTGTATAACAGATATAGGGTTTGACGATATTTTGCGAAATCAAATCTAAATCTCAAGTATCTTCTTTCCTTACTTGAGATACAAACAAAAACCTTCTTGGTCATAGCGTTGAAATCAATGTTTAGTTAACAGAATTATTGTGAAATACGTATTGATTGAATATGATGTTGTATTTTCAGATCAATTACTCATACAAACTTAAACACATGTCATTTTTATAAAATACACGAATGTTTATATATATTTTTATTCAACAGCTGATTTTCTACAGATTTAAAATTTTTCTTTAGGGATCAACTGATTAGCAAAATAACCTTATCTAAAAATTCATGGGTATGGAAGTTATCTATTTAAGCAGAGCAACACCATCAATTCTAAACAAAATAGATAACTTCGCTTTTATCGCTTAAATTATGTCCTATTGAGTTTCTTTTTCGACTTCGTATTTCAACTATAAAATAATAAATATGCTTCATGAATGATATATTGTTTATAATATTTACCAACATACATATGTATATGTTTCCGTTCAACTTTGGAAAGATAAACACTAAAATAATTATTAATCATGAAATCATTGAAACAATTTAGTTAAATGTGTTTAAAAATAAATGCTGAAATACAAACTTGTAAATGAAAGTAAAGTTGGTGCTCAAATAAATGTTACAATCGATGTTGATCGATATATATTCGATTATCCATGTAGTAGTAGCTCTGATTGTACAGATTATGAGATCACATTTCCACCTGGTCTTTACAAATTCGAACTGTATGGTTCATCAGGTGGCAGCCAAAACGGTATCACCTCATATCGATTTCCTAATGGCAGCTGTATTTCAGAAGAAATCGTTAATTTATATCGTGGAAATACAAAATGTCTAAGTAAATCGAGTGTTGGTGGTGCAGGAGGATATATTTCTGGTGTAATTTACATAAGGAAATCAATACTTTCGTTTGTTACAGTTGGGGGCAAAGGAAGTGTTGCCACCAAAGACTCTGAATGCTATGGTGAACCAAGATGCTTCGAAAGAAATATTTACTCTCCAGGAGGATATGGAGGTGGAGGAAGTACGCCTGCACACCCTAGCATTGGATCAGGAGGTGGCCAAACTGCCGTAAAATTCATAGAAAATGATTTGTGGCATCGAGTAATTGTCGCTGGTTCTGGAGGCGGTGCTGATAACGGTGTTGGCGATTTTCTAGGCAAAGATGATGGCTCAGGAGGTTCAGGAGGCGGCTTGATTGCACAAGGATGGTTTGAGAATGGTGTTTATAAGAATGATTATTTAGCAAATTCTACTTTTGGATTTAGTTTTGGATATGGAGAAGCTGCTCAGTTATCTGGTTCAAAGAATGTAAATGGCGTTCATAAATACTCTTCTTCTAGCGACAAATCAGGTTCCGGAAGCGGATGGTTTGGAGGTTTTGCAAGCCATGATCCAAACTCTGGCTCTGGAGGAGGTTCTTCATGGGTTTTATCTAAAGATGCAATCATTCCTCCAGGAAAAATAAAAGCAACAGACGATTTTTTCACACCTATCGGAAGTCGAGAATATGAATTTTCAAAAGCCGATTTTTTATTTACTAATGTTATTCATCAAGCTGGCATATGGGAAGGTAACGGTCGAGTAATTATTAGCATCATTCAATATGAAAAATGCCCAACATTTAAATACTTTTTAAATCTTAATTTTCTTTTGCCCATATATGTGTTTTCACTTTCGAAGTAAACTAGTTATTTTCAATTCCATTAAAATGATCCTCATTGATTTTGATTTAGCAAGATAAAATATTTCTGCAATATATTGATATGTCTTTTTGTTCAATATATATACCATATAGAACTGTTATATTAATTTTGTTTGTATTGGTCAGTAATTAGAAGTTTTTTGTTGAATGAGAAGATTGTTTCGGAGAAAAAAACTTCTAATTCCGCTTTTGATCATAATAGTTTTGATGTCTATTATGACAATAGTTGGTTTTTTCACATTCAATTTAACAACAGTTCTTGAAGAACCAGAAATTAATTTTGATCAACTAGTATTAACTGTTTCAAATGTTAATAAAGACTTATATTTCAGATTTGAAGGAGTAGGAGCTTCTGCTTATTCTCGAATTTATCCATTTTGCAAAGAAAATAAATGCGAAATTCCATTAATCATCGGAGGAGATGTCAAATTTTCTCTCATTTACCGCAGATTTCCGATATATACGAAGCATTACATAATTGAGCACGCTAAAATGAACTGTACAAACGAACCTTGGACAAATAGAATTTGTACTTTCAGAGATATATGCTATGCTAACAAGAAATATCATTTAATATCGCCATACAACATTACTTTTGAAGAAAAACTACTTTGTTTAGGTGCCAAAACGCCACCTGTAGATTTAGAATTAAATAGATTCGAAAACATGATAGATACATGGCATGAGAAGCCATTATTCGGTAGACACGTTGTCGCTCACTCATTTTTAGTATCAATATACTACAATATGCATATGTTATGGCACCAATATTTCGATTTTTTGCTTCCTTTATACCAAACGATGGTTAGAGACGGACCATTCGATAACAGATCGATTGTTTACTTACCGACATATGCTACAAGTTATCCTATGCAAACGAATTACCTTTCTTTGGGAAATAAAGTTGCAAAAATGGAATTAGACGGTTGTTTCGAACAATTAACAATGGGAATGGTCAAAATCACAGATTTATCACTTGATAAAGATGATCCACCTTATTCTTTCTGTAATAATTGTTCTTCAGGATTAAGAAATATAATTTTACGAAAAATGAATATAAATGACACATCAAAATCACCAATTGCTGTAATATTAGCAAGAAAAGGTAATGTGAGGTTTTTTAATGTCGATGTTGTTGAAAAAGTTGTCAAAAAATTATTACCAAAATATAAAGTCAAAGTAGAGTATTTTGAAAATGTTCCAATTGAAAAGCAGATGAAAATTATGTCTAAGGCTTCTTTGTTTGTTTCAATCCATGGAAGTGGATTGTCTCATATTTTGTGGATGAAGCCAGGTACATGCGTTATTGAACTTAAAACTTGGCTTCACACATGTAATGATTGGTATCAAAAAGCAGCTCGTGCAACAGGAATTCATTACATGGCTTATTATCCACATGAAACATTAGACAAACCTTCTTATATTTCACCATATTTGCAACATTGCATTGATAATAGAATCTTTTGTGGATCAAAGCATTGCAAAGATGCACTTCGTGATCAAAATATTACTGTTAATGCTGAGCGCTTCGAAAACGGTATCAAAGAATTCGTCAATAACCATCTCAAATGATATTTATTCATATTATTTTTTGTTTGTATTTTTTTATTTATAAAATATGAAATCAGTTATTTCTTTTTTTTTATATTTCATAATTAAAATCTTCAATGTGATATTTTTCAATGATAACAATGAGTTACATTCTTAGCTCAAATATTATTCCTTTGATATTAAAATAAGAGATTTATGATTGAACATATTTCATGGTTTAATGATAGCTCTGTTTTATCAAATAAAGTGAAGGAAAGGAAGACTAGAAGAAGATGATTACAAATAAGATACAGCAATGAAAAAATAATTAATGCAGTCAATAAAGATAACTTAAATTTCATAAATGGAATGACTGCTCTTCAATATGCAGTTAAGATTTTTTTAAAAAAAAATGAAATTAAGAAAAAAAAATATACTTTTAAAGTCAGTTTACAGTTGATTCTTTGGATTCTCTTGTTGTACTTGAGGATCTTGTGGAACTTGTCCATTTGCTTTACGCCATTCGCAGAAAGCGTTGTACTTCATCGCATTGACATGTTTCTTCTTGAATGAGTTTTCCCACGATTTGAACTGGACGAATTCATCAATAGGAATCTCAACTACTTGATCGGATTCGTATTTACAATGAGACTTCTTATCTTTCTTGTCCTTACGATCTTTATCCTTCTTATCTTTCTTATTATTCTTACTTCTCTTATCTTGATTTCTGCGGAGTTTCTCCTCCTTACGACGAAGCTTTTCTTCAAGCTTCTTCAGCTTGTTCTCCCTGTACTTAAGACGTTCTTCTTCTGAGAGATTGTTGATGAATTCTTCGCGTTGCTTGAGAACTTTGTTCTTCTCTTCGACTGCATGATTGAGTCTTTCCTTTTTCTGATCTTCTGTCTCACCTTCAACAGGCAAGAATGGTCTCCAGTCTACTTGTGGAAAGTCTTGAGTCTCTGGTAATTTCATTGGTTCAGGAGCTGTCTGAGACATAAGTGAATGTGAAGTGGAGCAAAATCCACTGAGCAATCACCAGCATATAAAAAATCGTTGGTAGAGCTCAGAAATAAATCCGTAAATTTTAAAATTTTTTTTCCCACTTCATAAATTCGGATCATTTACGATACAATTCATATCGTCGTAGACAAAATTTTTAGATAAATAAAAAAAAAAAAAAAAAAAAAAAAAAAAAAGGTAGTGGGGCTTCCAGGCACTTCGTGCCCTCTAGCCCCGAAGATGTTTAGTATAAATGAAGTTTTTATTCGGAAAATTGTTAGTCTTCTGGTGTGAATTCAGAGGACTCTTCTTCTTCCTCCATTGCTTCTGGGAAGAAGCCTTCTTCTGGGTCGAAAACATTATATAATGTGTCGCTTTTCACAAATTATATATGTTTTCATGTTTTGTCACTTTTCTGTCACTTTTCAGGGAAAAAACATTTTTATTATATATATAAAATGAATTTTACAAAACCACCGTTACCCTTCTTTGGAAATAAGAGTAGATGTAAAGATATTCTATTGAGAGAACTTAAGAAACTACCGAATGGTCTAACATTTGTAGATTTGTTCGGTGGAAGTTTCTATATATCCCATTTGTGCCATACAATATTTCCTGACTCAAAGATTATATGCAATGACTTCGACAACTATATGGACCGTCTCAAACATATACCAGACACAAACAATATATTGAAAGAGTTAAAAGAAAAGATACCTATAGGTAAGATGGAACGTATACCATTAGATAAGAAAAATATTGTGAGAGAGGTTTTGAAAAAAGCAGAATATATAGACTGGGATAGTATATCTGCTAGACTATTATATAGTGGTGCTATAAGAGTTCATGACATTGAAACACTTATGTCAAAAGTTTTATATCTTAACTAATAACAAATGTTTTCAAAGAGGACATAGAAAAATATATTGAGGGTATAGAGTTTGTGAGATGTCATTGGACAGATTTGTATGAAAAATATAAAGACAAGGAAAATGTTTTCTTTATAGTGGACCCGCCGTTCTATAACACATGGGATTTCAATACCAAGTAGACTGGACTTTGAGAGACTCTTTAGAAACTTAGACGTTTTACATAACCATCCATGCTTTTACTTTACATCCGATAAAAGTGGTTTGGAAACCGTTATGAGATGGTTAGAGGACATACATGACTATGAGTTTATATATGACAAGATAGAATATGAGAGAGGTCCTATAAACTGGAGAAAGTGTCATAACAAAGAAATTTTATTAGTAAGTAAATGTGGTTTGAAATAGGACTACTTGTTTTAGGTTTTTTCCATTGTGTCATTTATTTATTTGACGTGGCAGAAAAGTACAGAGAATATGAAGATGAACCAAGTGCAAATGTTCAGCATATGTATCGTAAGAGATATTTTTTATCTAATATTAAATGGACGCACAGGAACTTAGCGAATGCACAGCAACCTGGACAACCAAACCCAGAGAATATTCCAAATGAAGTTAGAATACAAACTGCAATGGCAAACTATGGTCAAGTGCCAACAGATGTACAAATGCAAACTGCCATGTCAAATGACGCTGCGTTAGGTTTGCCACCATGGTATGCAAATATGAGATGGAAAGAGTTTTATACAAACCCTGAAGTGGGATATAAACAACTTTATGCAGATGACGCGAACACAGGAGTTGACCCAGAATATGTTTTCTACCAGAGGAGAAACAGAATGTATGAGTCCAGTTAAAGAATGCTATGGAACTCAACAGGAAACGTAAGAGACTAGGCGGACATTAGATTTTTACATATAGTAAAATGGGTTTCTTCAGTAGTATTGGAAACTTCTTCAGAAGAGTTGGAAGAGGTATATGGAATGGAATAAAATCTGTCGGAAGAGGAATTTGGAACGGAGTCAAAAATATTGGTAAAAGAGTAGGTCAGTTTGTTGGTATTATACCTAAAGACCCTGAACCAGAAGAGCAAGCTCCTGTTATACAACAGCCTGAACCTGCACCACAGTCTAGTTGGCAACCAAATCCAACACCTCAACCGTATTAAAAAATTATATTTTTTACCGTTCGATAGTAGTTGTATATGAAACTAAGTTCTAAGTAAAACGCATGGTATAATGGAATTATTCTTTTTCTCTCCATCTGTAGTAAACCATACTTGAAAGTCTGAAATACTTCCACTTGGTGGTTCGTATAACTTTGTAGGTTTTTCGTAAAAGTCATTTGCCAAGCATAAGAAAGAGTTTTGGGCGCCAGAAAATGAAGCATGAACAATAATAGCAGCTGGGTCGAAAACATCTTTAAATAAATATGGTTCATCTCTTGCATATCGACTGTAAATATTTGCTAAAGGAAGTTCGACTTTCTGATTTAACATTCTTTGCAAATAATACCATGACATTGCAGTGAATTCTGTATATATTTGTTCGTCTTTCTTTGGATTGTCTTCGTAGATTTGAAATGACACTTGTGAATTTTGTTTGTCATATACAATTCTCACATAAAGTGTGCTCTCGGTATTTGCATATTCATCAGCATATTTTGCATAACATGAATTTATTTTATCTTCTATATTTTTTAACGCAGTCTGTAGAGAAGATGAAAGGTCAACTTGTATTAGCTCAATTTCTTCCCACATTTTTCGTTTCCCTTCAGATATATAATCTATATGAAACCTTACAATAAATGGAAAACTTTTATCTTCTACAGACACAAACTTCATTCTACGAAAGCCAATAGCTTTTGTGACAGATGGTCTCTTAACCATCTTAATGGGTAGTCAAAACGATAGCCTTCATGCTTTACGGTCTCTGTCTCAAACTTTTGACCGACATTAGTAAAAAGTTCATCTAATGGTTTAGTTGTAGCAACTCTTGAATTTTCTTTTTCTATTGGAAGCATATTTTATCTACAATAAAAATGTCGAAAGATATTGCTTCCATGAGAGAAATACAACACAACCGACAACTCATTGTGCAAGCTCTAAATAAGAACACAACAAACTTTTCAAACTATTCTAAGATATCTGAGTCATTGAAAGAAGGAAACTTAAAACTGACATTAAACCCAATGACAGATGAGTTTCTGTTTCAAGACAATAAGAACCATACTGTCTGTATAAATCCAACAAAAGGAACTTTAAACGAGAAACCTATAGATGAACTTCTTTTGAAGGCAGATATTGACAACAAAGCTGACAAAGAGTATGTAGATGCAACATGAGACTATATTCTCGCATGGACAGATAGAACATACCCACAAAAACACCATACACATAACATCTATGACGTAGATGAACTACCAGCAATGTTAGATGACAAAGCGGATAAAACATATGTTGACAATAAAATGTCAAGTGAAGTGACAAGAGCTGACAAAGAATATTCTAAAAAGACTCATACACACGATTTCTTCGCAACTGTTGGTATAGAAAATATTGCAGGAACGGTTGAAGAACCTGATGGAACTGGTGGGGATGCATTGTATTGGAAACCTCCTAACTTTCCACAAGGTTTAACATCGGAGGATGACATAACGACGATGAAATACACTAGATGTAGAAATGTCTATGTCATGGAGGATGAAAACAAAGTTAAATTCACTGCTCAAGATTTATATGACAACAAAGCTGACAAAACATATGTTAACGATGAGTTAGATAAAAAAGCTGACAAAACATATGTTAACGATGAGTTATATAAAAAAGCAGACAAAACAGAGCTTCAAACATTAAAGACAGAAATACTTCATACAGTATATCCTATAGGTTCTATTTATACGTCAATGAACTCTACCAGACCAGAAGTAGTACTTGGTTTTGGAACTTGGACTCAAATAGTCGACAGGTTTTTGTATTGTGCAAACTCTTCAAAGGAAACAGGTGGAAGTAAAACGATTTCAGGTGAAAACTTACCTGCACACAGTCACTACATAGATTTAAGTACATCTCAAGCAGGTTGGCATAAGCATAGATATTGGGATTGGTCAGGAATGACAAAAGGTAAAGGATATGATGTTAAAGACGACGTTAAGTTTGCTATAAATTGTTATTGGAGTGACACTCAGGGAGAAGGAAACCATACACATCGCGTTTCAGGGTATACGCAAACAACGGGACAAAGTAAAGACTACATGCCACCTTACATGACAGTTTACGCATGGTATAGAATTGCTTAGTCGTCATTTTCAACTTCTTTAGCATATTCGTCTGGAGTTGTCTTATATTTGTTAGGAACTGTCTTTGAAAGTATACCACCTTGAACCTTAACAAGTTTGAAACGAGGTCTGACAATAGTAGTTTTATCTTCTGCTTGCAGTCTGTACATTTTGCCATGTTTGCCTAAAACTTCATAATATTCTCTTGTATACTTTCTTCTATTTTTACGAACACGAATGCGAGTACCTGTCGAGTTCCCATTGTTGTCATAGTCAATAGTATTTTCATATGGGTCGCGTTTAGGTATTTCTATTTTTACTTTGTCACCTTTCTGAAGTTTGAAGCCCGGCATTCTTTCTTGTTTGTCTCTTTTGACTAAATTGTTAAATATATAGTCTTTCTCTAAGTCAGGGTTGTTTTTCATTTCTTCGGGGGAGTGGTTTCCCAAACCTTTTTGTTTACGGCTATTGTAAATATTTAAAACTTGTCTCATCTTTGCCATGGAGAAGTGTCTATATTTGTCGTCATATGACATTTCATTTGCTTCACCACCTTGTGGTTGGTTTAAGTCTCTTAACATTTTTATACAACCGTCAATGACACCAAGAGCAGAATGGTTTTGGTCGACAATGAAATATTGGTTTACATTTTTTGAACGCAGATAGTTTTTTACATCATCTGATTTGAAAGAACTTTCACAGTCAGATGTCAGTTTTGTTGGATGGTATTTGTCAACGAATATTGTCAAAGCTGCTAAGATATCTAAAATATTTTTGGACTGTAATGGTATGGCTTCACAGTATCTTGTGTTTTGACCGACAAATATTAGCCAGTATGGTGGTCCATCTTCT